AATAAAATGTATAACTTCCATTATTATTTTTTATTTAGTCCGCTGGCCGTTTGTCGCCTCACTGACGCCCCCATCCTCCTTTCTTGTCCTTTTCTATAGCACCGCAAAAAATGGGAAACAAATTAATGGTAACTTATATTGGATTGTATTGGAGATCATATTAGATTCAGAATCTTAGATATCTGTGTTAATATCTATCATTTCGATATGCCTTATTCACTCAGTTTAAACTTACATTTAATATAAAGTCGTATATCATATTAATCCCTAAGAATATTTCACATTTTCCTGTGCATTTCCCTTGCTGATCTCCCATTGGCTTTGTACATTTTTTGGCTTTTACTTCGACTATTTTCTGAAACGCTGACACTTTTATTTAAATATTATTTAAAATAATGTTTTTTTGGACTCTTTGCATGCGTGTGCCTGTGTGCCAGCTGTCTGCATTGTTTCGTCCTTTTCACTTTTGGGCTGCTCCTTTGTTCCTGCGCTGCTTTTTGGAGTAGCTCTTGAGTTACGTTGCCATTTTCGTGCTCCGGGCTCTGTTCTCCGCTGCCTCCTGGCTCTTTACTCTTTGCTCTTTATTATTTGAGCATTTATTTTGCATATTGTACTTGGTTTGTTTTTTATCCGGCTTTTGTGGCTCAAGTGCAGGGATATAGTGGAGAGAATTGCTTTTTAGTGTCGGGCATTTTCCGTTGTATTGCAATTTATTTCGGGAGGTGTTTAAGGGGTTAAGCGCCATTGTTGCCCAAGATTTGCTGGATTGTAATTGGAAGAAATTAAGATATATAGTTTATCTATACTTCTTAGGAATAAGATGCAGATACAAGATAAAGCCATATAGACTTTAAAGTGATTATAATTTTCCTTTGCTTTTGTTCCTCCTAAACGAATAACCCCTTAAAAACATCAAACAACCTCTATTATATAAAATCAGCACTCATCTAACTAGGTTCACGCGTGCCAATTATTCGCAGGCCAAAGTCAGATCGTTCCCGGCTAAGCCATAGGATTCCACGTGTCCCGCACAAAGGACTCGACACACTCTCAACCCGATCCGTTGTCAATTTGGCAAACAAATACACTGTTGGATAAACATCAACGCCCCTTGATGAGGCAAATCACGGCATTTAGATATTTATCGCACTCTCAACTCGGCTAACCCCATTGCAGCCGGGAACCACCAGCCACCAATGGAACCACTGCACCACCCAACCTCTTGCCAGCTCAGGAATCACACGTCGATGTCAACCACAGACGGAATACACGTGACATTTACGCAGTTGAAAATCAAAAAACCAAAATCAAAACGTTTGACGAGGATCGTGGATGGGCAAACAATGGAGTGCAACAACCCCGAGTCCGTCCCACGCTATTTAAAATCCATTTAGCACTCCTCAACTTAGTTTGGGTGGTTTTTAAAAAACTGGAAAATTAAAAATATCCTCAGGTACAGTTGCCAGCGGCCTCAGCGACATATATTTCCATAAAGAGGGACCGATTCTGACATGTCGGCTGGGATGAAAGAATCAAACCATCGAACAACAGATATCCCTACTATTGAGCAAATGTAAAAAATCATCAGTACAAAAAACACCTACCATAACACACACAATATGTAAATTATGAATTTTGTGTAAACAAAACGCGGAGTGAGTGCATCAAAGAACAGGTCTTCGTGGTGAGCCATTAGGCATCCATCCCAGCTACTGTATTAAATCATACATCCATGGAGGGGCCTCACAGATGGGCACATGGAACTCAAATGGTCGTATCATGTGCTATGAGCGATGGCTGCTTGGGCGGCACACACAACTAACAACCCGAAATCAAAAGCAAAACAAACCCAGGCGATCCCAAAATGAATCCAAAAAATTGATTTCTCATCGTTTTTGGCGGTTGCCCAACAGGCCGCGCAGGTTTCACTATTTCTGATGGACTCTCTGCTTATTAGCCGACTGTGACTGTGACTCTGACTGTGACTCTGACTGACTGACAAGATACCCCAGCCCCCAAAAAACCAAAGCACAGTGGTTGAAGGAGATATTATTTTGTAATTAAAATCAATATTTTAGACTTTCTATCTTAGTTTATATCATAAGTAACTTTTCGTTTGATACATTTTAAAATATTGCTTAGCTATAGTATTAAAAACTCTTTCAATAAGCTTATTAGTTAGTGATTAGAAATCAATTTGTTAAAATATTTTATACCACTATCAAAATCCTTTCTTTTTTAACTCAATATTCTGAGCAATTTCTATTAAAAACGGTTCTAGTTTTTAAGATTTCTCTTAACTCAAATACATTTGACAAAAATTCCTTTAAAAATGTATAGTTTTCCTTCGAAAAAATAAATTAAAATTACCTCCATTTCTCTTATTTACTTAGTAAAACCCATTTACCCCTTGAATCCCATCTAATCGTTTAAATTGGCTTTCCCTCAGCTGGTTCCACTGTCTTCTTAGAGTCTCGGCAAAAAGGTCTGGGCCACCTACTTTACACGTTTGCTACTTGAAATGGCATTTGTTTTCTTTTCTAGGTTTTTTTCTTACTCATCCTTCGGCTGTTTCCCCGCGCTGTCTGTTGGAAAAACAAAACAGAGGGGCAGGGGGAGGTGTCTTTTTTGGGGGCTGCCAAATTAGTTGTTGCTGTTTGGCCTCTGACCCTTCGATTGACAAGCCGCAGGTTGGGTTACATTGCCCAATGAGTCGCTGCATCTTGTGATCATGGATGGGTCTGCCACAACCGAAATGCGGAAAGGCAAATAATAACAACTAAGTGAAACTAATGCCGCGGGGGAAAAACTCTGAGAGACCACCCTCGAATTAGCCAGGAAAAACATATGCCCCGGCTAATCTTAAGCTGTTAAGTAACCCTTTTGGGCTGGAATCGTTTTGGCTTGGCCTTGGGGTGGGCCACTTCTTGGGCGTTTCTTTGGTTTTTAATTGACGGCACTTCTGGAGGCCGCAAGAGGCATGTGCCATCTGCCAGCAGGAGCAGGAAACCCTTTTTCCGCAATACTCCTGCCATTTTTTGTACTTTGTTCCCAATGCCTCTGATGCCCCTGATGCCTCTGGGCTGTATCTGAGGTTCGATCTGTCTGCTCTCTGTTTTCTAGTTACTGGTTTCTGGCTTTGGATTGGATTGTTTGTTGGCCTGGCTTGGCTCACTGTCACCCCCTCTGGTAATCGCCTGCTATTAATTCATTGTCTATTATCAAGAATTTCCATGCCTGACATTGTATGCATTTTGTGCCGCCACTCGAGGAGCATATGCATGTTGCCTGCTGCTCCTGCGGATGCTTCTGCTGCCGTTTTTGCTCCTGTTTCCTGCTCTCAACTAGTGCTGTCGTGAGTTCAGGGGTCTCTCCATAGCTACCTTTTCAGGTTTAGATTCAAATGGTGGATATCATAGAAAACGAACTTAGGTAATAAATATTATTCTGATTTGAAGTTAATTTGGATGATATATATTTCACATTCTTAACATATTCATAAGACTTACAATATATTATCTGGAAAGTTTAAGTTTCTATTAAATTCGAAACATATTACATACCCCAAAAAGATCCAAAGTAACATCACTGTTCTTGGCTCTCCTCCAGCTTCATTGTTCGTCCATAACTACATGGGCCGCTGCTACTCTAAGATATTATCGACAGCTCGTCCTCCAACGAGCGGCTGACTGACTGGCCGGGCTCACCAGTGAGTCCTGCACTCCCCTTACGTCCTTTCCCGCCTGTTCGTCCTTTTTGGCTTTGTGCCGGCCATTGTCCACTCGAGCTGAGGATCCTGTGGCTGCGCTATCCTAACCCACCGGCATTGTTGGCCCCTGACAATGGTACATAGAGTCCATTGTTCGGCTCTGGGCACATAAATACAGAAGGGGGAGGGCATGGCTGATATAGCCAGTGGCCAGTGGCCAGGGGCCACACATCCTGGCCATCCTTGTTGCTGTTGACTTTTCGAGTTTGGCAAGGCGCACAATGGACAAATTGATATCCAATAATTTAATTTTGTTATCCATTCAGTCGCATGTTGGAAAATAGTTTTGTAATTTGCACTCGGCATGTGTGTAACCGATATTATTGTCCCGAATGTGGCTGGGGGTGTGAGGTGTGAGTGCTCGAGTCCTTTGGCCATTGTTAAATTTTTGGGAAATGTGCTGGTCATGTGTGGGCATTAGTTTTATTATAATTTTGTTTATCGTGTCGTCTGTCCGAATGGGGAAAACAAAAACAACCTCGAACCGTTTATGTGTAAAAGGATTTCACACTTTTCCGCACACGGCCATGCGGACCGAATAGTTTTCCCTGGCGATTTTCCGGGGTTCGTGTTGTGGCATTGCCCTCAAAATAGTGGCAAATAGATAATGATGATTCGGATTAACGCTTCGGATTATTATTTGGCCATCACCCATTGTGATGACCAGTTGGGTATCTCGGCTCGTGGGTGGCCTCTATAATTGCAGTAGTTTTGTATTTGTTTGTTGGGGGGTGTTTGTGGTCAGGCCATTGTTCTCCCGTCAGCTTCTCACGATTATAAATTACGTGCTGTGAAAATTAAATATTTACTTAGCTAGGAATAGCACCGAAGGATGGCCAAACAATGGCAGTTTTCAATTAAATATTTTTATTAATTGATCTGATTAGTAGGCCAAAGCGATTTAATGGCAGCTCTAAGCGATTGAGAACAATGACTACATTTTGTACTATTATTGAAATATTCATTAAGTCCTTCAGCTTATTTAGGCAATCAAAATGTATCTGAATGTGAAATAACAATGAAATTTATATCCCTCTTTCCCCTCCAACAATTTCAATCTGATAAGCAAGCCCAAAGAACTTCCCAGTAAAAACCCAAATCGATTTAATTACTTCTTTTAATTTTATTGAATTATTCTGTAGATTTATTAAATACTTTAACACAGTGTTTGAAATGTACTTTATCTAAGACATAATATGATATTCAATATAGTTATATATATGCTCGTATTTATATGGTACACACGGATATCTCAATCGAGTTGGCTGCAACCAAGTCCCTTACACAGTAATCTCATCGTCTGTGTAATTTGAATTTCAGCTAATACATCTTATGGCTCTTAACTGGGATCGAGTTTATGGTCTCCTTAACTTATTTTTAAACAAATTATTATTACGTTTTCTATTTTACAATACTTGTGCTAGAAGTTTAAGGGTAAATATAATTTACACTTAGTTTAAGGGTTCTTACACTGGGGAAAAATAATCTTTGATGACCATGACCACTCCTTGAAATGAGGATTATAGTTCGTCCTTGCATTATCTTCGAATTTCAAAATATAAAAATCCGACTCTAGTTGAACTTTATTTTAGCTTTAGAAGTATCTTCTTTTTCCGGAGAGTAGGAGTGGGGAAAAACCTACTCGAAAGGCCTGAAGACGGCGGAGCCACTGGCCTCCACCTCGCTGCCTCAATCCTGAGAGTCCCCAGCGTTGCTGCTGCGATCCAATCCAATACCACCCGCTCCATTGGACTCTGATTGCTCGATGTCCGCCGCACTAAGGACACCCGGAAGATAGCCGGTCCCGGCGTAGGGAGCAGTCAGGAACCTCTTGGCATGCGCCTGCATGAAGGGATGATAGCGATGTGTTGGGGAACCGAAAACCGAGGGCGGCACCAAGGGAGAGAAGGCGGACTTCATGGGGAAAGGCGGTGACGGTGGGACCTGGGGCGGAGTCTGACCCAAATCCTCGCCAGCTAACATGCACTCCATGGCCTGGAGGACATCGCCACGGAATCTTTGCATCAGCTGCTCCACATCGCTGCGCCGGCGATTGGGGAATACCCTCATCAGGACATCAATGGGAGATCTCTGCTGCTGTTGTTGCTGCTGCTGTTGTGCTTGATGGTGCTGTGGGAGGTGGTTCTGCTGCTGCTGCTGTTGTTGTTGTTGATGCTGCTGGTGGTGTGGCGAGTGGGCCGGTGGGTGGTGGTGGGCAGGCAAGCCGGCGGCGGCCAGGAACTGCGTGTGGTGATATGGCAGGAAACCCTGGGCATGACTGCTGCTAAAGGAACGCAGCAAATGCAGATTTTCGGCGGGCGTATTGGGCGGCGATTGGCTGTCCTCCTTTTTGAGACTAAGATTCTCCGGTGTGGCCTCATCGGGCGCCGAGTCCACATCCAAATCGGATTCCGGCGAGCTGGGCGGTCCTGTGCGGGCGGGCGACAAACTGGCGGTCAAATTGAAGAGACCAGCGACCTTTGGCCGGGGACTACTTGGTGATCCGGACTCAGAGCCCGTGTCCTGGTCGGTTTCGTTGGACAAGGCTGCACCTCGCTTGGAAACTGCAAGAAGAGATCACAAGAAGGTGGACAAGTTAGTCATGAGTTACGATAATGAGGAAACATAATGAGTTTTCTTTCTTTAAAGTTTAAACTGAAAAAAGATTGAAAACGGAAACTTGATCTTAGACTCTCAGCATTAAATGCCCAATAATTTATTTTCTTAAACTGCCAGCTTAATATTGTAATTATTCCCTTTCGAAGTAAGATTTCCCTAACAAACTAATTGTTTACCCAAACCCAAATATCGTTTTCCCTCCAGCAAGTGAGTCAGGTAGCAAGTGGAAACTGTGCGGTTTTCCACTTGGCAGTTCTGAGCAAATAAAAGTATCAAATGTGGAAATGGGAAAATGTAATCAGGGGGATCACAAACACTCAGCAGAAGGGCGACCAGGATGCGTTGACATGCCAACAAGGGACAACCTGCTGTTTTTTTCACAAATGAAACAAGCTATATGATATTTTTTTTTTTTTTCAGCTACCTTTGGTTTTTTTTTCGTTTCTGTTTGATTTTGCAGTTGACGAAGCCGCAGTGAAAATTTAATTAAGTCGAGGGTGCGTGGATACCAATACCCAATGCTGAGCTCTGTAGCTGGAACTAAAAATTCAAGCGTGAAATCGTCTTGGATTTCATTGCAAATAAAGAGTCCGGTACTTAAATAGACAGGTTTTCTCGATTGATTCGCGTGAGAATCCTGGTGTGTTTTTCTTTCTCGAGCCCAAAAAAAAAAACAGCGTCCCTTAAAAGGGCAAACAAATAAAGACAAGTGAGGTGAGTCAGGGGGGAGTATCTCACGTTACTACCCTGCCAGGACCCTCAGCATGGGGTTGTCTTACCCCCCAGGACAGCAGATAGTCCTAATGAGTGGGCGAGGTTGTAAGGTCTGCGATATCCTTAAAGGACTTTGCAACTGTTTGGCGTTTAATAGAAAGAGGAGTTTGAGTTGGGTTGGTAAGGCAATCTGGCTGAGATGATCTGGTTGGAATTGATTGGCTTTGTTCGGATAATGCCGAATAATATTGGATAATGTTACAATAACTTTTATTGTTCAGTCCCGAAGAGGGTTCTTTGTGAGGGAAATAATGGAATCTGTTGCGTAATTCTTTGGATGAACTGTTCAGGTGGGAAAGTATCTCTATCAAGAGTTCTTTTTTCGTTTAGAGTTAAGAATTAAGAATCTAAGAATTCAAATTCTTATGATATTACTTTAAATCTCGGAAATTTTTAAATTATTTCTTTAAAATCTCCCCTTATAGCCGCGAAGTTCTGCCTTCTTAACGAGGACTTTAACTTGATTGTTGCAATTTGAGCTCCTTAATGTCCTGGTTCCACCCCAGAACGTTTTCACGCGCTGTTTGGCAAAGTGCAGGACTGCAGCTTGGCTGGCTAAGTCATTGTCAAAACAACACCTACGCCCCACACACTAGCACCACTTCGCCACTTGCACACACGCTGCCAAATGCACATGCAACCGCGAGTGTGGCACTTTATGCACCGCTGATTTTTTAACAATCGAAAACAAATTTTTCTTAACGCGCTCTTAACTTGCCCCCGCAAAGATTCTCAAGCCTTCTCTTCGAAGATGTCAGGCGTAAAGGGCTTTCTAAGGGGCTGCACTGGAAGTTATTTATTTTGATAATATTACTATATATATTTTAGAAAGATGCTTTGATCGACGGTGATTTAAACCTCATTTTAGCAGTGTAATCTTGTTAATATTTTTTCTGTAACTCACCAGGACTCTCATCCAACTCGGTCCTCGTGGGCGAGAAACCCACACTGAGGTGCTCGGAACGGGTGCGTCCATCCGTGTCGGATTCATTGCCATTGAATCGCTGGGACTGCTGGAGCTGGTGGCTGTGCTGCTGCTGGTGGTGCGACTGTTGCTGCTGCGATTGCTGGTGATGATTCGGTGTGGAGCTGGCCTCGAAGCCGTCGCTCGGCGGCGAGGGAATCCCTCCATGAAATACACCATTCTGTCCGGATCCTCCACTGGCCGATCCACCGCTGCCACTGTGATTGGGACTGTGTGGTGTGGGTGTGGCACTATCACTGCCATTCTGCTGGCCAGGAACCGAGGTGTACAGGAGGCCCAGTTCACGGGCTTCGTTCTCTTCTTGGGCCTGCTGCCGACGGAGGGCAACCTGCAAGAGGGAGGGAAATTGTGGAAAACGGATCTTTGATCAGTGAAGTGTAGCAGGAAGCTTGGTTAATATAACTAAGACTCTAAGTCAAGAGAGCAATATAAATATGTCAGATTTTAAAGCATTTCCGCATCATTTCTTATAAATTTTCCAATTGCTTATTGATAAATATTGAAAGTGAAACACACCTGAGCAGCCATAACCCTTTGACGCTCCGCAATAAGTGTGCATTTGGCGCAGACACAATCCCGCCAGCGGCAATAGCGTTTGTGACCCTTCAAGGCGCTGACCTGCAAGGGATCGAGAAAGAGGAAATCCATTGGGTGAGTAAACTCCAAATTCCGCATGGCAAAGTCGAGAAGGACCTACCACGCCATGATTCCTGCAGCGGGCGCATTTGGGAGTCCTTTGATAGCGCTCTGAGGCGGCTCTCAAGAAGAAAGCAGGTGGCAGTGCTCCCAAAACCGGATGCTGGGACATTAGATTCTGCATGTCCACACCCGACGGCAGACTCATTTCCTTGGTTAAGTAAGAAACCTTTATTTATAACTTTTATAGAAGTTGAGAACTTCCCAGCACACACTTCACTTTAGTTTGTATTTGCGTTTCGTTTTGCAATTGTTTAATATTTTCTTTTTGGATTGTTATGTTTAATGAAAAACTTATTTCGGTTTTGTTTTTCACAACTAAGACATACTCCTAAGTAACCACGCGCGCTGACGACATGACACACTGAGCCCTCGATTGCAACTGATTCAACTTTTTGGCCAAAAGGCCACAGCGCACGGTAGCAGCAGCAGCAGAAGCAAGAGCAAAATCGCCGACGATCAGCAATGGCGGCAAGCAGGCAAGCGGCAACATTTACCAATACAAAAGCGGCTCGAAAACGAGGGTTGAAAGTACATATACATATATATATATCTGTATGAGCGAGGATTCTGGGATTCGGAGAGTGTAGCAACCACCTTTGTGTGGCGCAGCTGCTTGCGTCGGCGGCGCAGTTGGTTCGGGCAGCGAAGCCGGCGGCGGCAGAGGGCTGGCAATTAAGAAAAAAGTTTCAAATCTAATTTGGTACTGTATACAAAATTGTGCACTCGAGGCGGCGACGCGGCGTATGAGTAATGTGGAGGGAGAGCACTCCGGACTGGTTGGCTGTGCGACAGTGGTAGTGGTGGTGGTGGTGGTGGTGGTGTGGCTGTGGTGGTGCTTCACTGCCTTGGTGGTGGTGGTGCTCCGGTGGTTGTTTGTCGTTTCTTTCATTTTCTTTGTTGCCTTTGTTTCACAATTTTACTTTTTTTCCGTCTTTTTAGCTGTATGTGAGAGCGCTTTGGGCTTTGGGCTAATGGAATAGCCAACCAAAAGCGTTGTTGTTGCGACCTCGCTGCTGGTTGGCATGGCTAACATGCACACACACACACATTTACACACACTTAACTGACACAGTTGTGCAGAAGTTGTTGTTGTTGCCTTTTGAGGGTACCTAATGCCCAGACCCCTGTTTAATGGAAAACTAAAGTTTCTGCTTTGGTTTTTGGCACATCGCCACTTGCTTTTCATTCCCAGCTGCCGCTGTTAAAATGTCTCAAGTGCGTGCTAAAATCTCCATGAATAAAATCAGCAAGTGCAGGTGCACAAATAATTGCTATTTGTTTATAATACTTCATAGTAATGGGGAAAATAAGCCAGAAAGAAATGGCCTGCCTTCCGGGGCTTGAAAGGAAAAGGAGAATAAAATAAGTTCATGAAAAAGGAAAAGGAGAATAAAATAAGTTCATGAATTTGTTATTATTTCCTTATAACTACTATAACGTTATATAATATGAGATATAATTGATATGTTTCTGTTTACTTTTATTTCCATTTAACCTAACTTTCTTGAATTTTCCCCTTACTTTTACCCACAACCTTTGATATGACATGAATATGTTCATGGTAAAGGGAAAATTTTACTTTAAAATGTAAAAATGGTTAATTTACTTTATATCCCAATTAAAGTTAATTCAAATACTTATTAAAAATGTTAATAAAACGTTTAATTATATCCCTAATACAAATTTTCAAATTTAAACTTAAAAAATATTTATGAAAATATATAAAAAGAGAGCTCTTCTTACATAAGGAGTCCTTTACATAATGTGGCTTAAATCCTGGCTGCGTTGGAATGAGAGTTTTTTTTTATTTTTCGGACAATGGGTTGCCTTTGGCCTATTGGAATGTTACAAAATAATTGCAATTGAAACAAACCGAGTACGAGTGCTGAGCAAGCGAGACAGTCACGTGTGCGAGAGAAGCAGAGACATTGCGCGCGCCTGAATCTCTCGCTCTCTGCCGGAAATGCTCTGCCTCTCCCGCTCTTTCTCCTTTTCTCTGCGACTCTCTCCCGTTAGATTCTCCCTCTCTCAAAGAGACTCCGCCTACAGAAAGAGGCGGAGCCATAGCTCTCACACACACACTGTGAAAATAGAAGAACATAAAGCGGCAACAATGTTGTACAAGTTGGCCAAAAGAAACAAGTTTCCAGTCTGTCTGTGTCGGTGTTTGCGCTTGTATTAGTGAGAGTGTACGTGAGTGGCCTAAGGACCTCAACCCCATACACACATACACACACATGCTAGCAGGGGGCAGTTCCAGTTCCGCTGGCGTCGCCTTTTTGGCCAGGTCACAGTTGTTGGCAACAGTAAATGGCTAGAAGTTGCTGCCGTGCTGCGATGTTGCTGCTACCGTGGAGCTACTGGTGTTTTGCGCAGGGCCAATTTCTCGCATTTTAACTTTGTTTAAAGTGCGCCTATATACACACACTCACACACTACAACACACACACACACACACACGCATGGAGACAGCTGCCCTGGGTGGCCACTTATAAAGTGTTTTTACTGCGACCAAATATGCAAATTAGTTGAGCAGCGCTGGAGATGACAACTTATTTTGTTGTTGTTGCTGCAGAGAGAGAAATCTTTACTAGCTTATCTAAATTTTATTACCAGTTTACAGGGAAATAAGTTATAATGTGAAGTATTTCTGCCCTTAATTGTTAAGTATCAAATGAGCTCTTCTCTCTGTTGGTGTTACCTGTTTCTAACATCCTAAAAAACACATAAATTTTAAATTCTAAATACATTTTAAACTGATAAAACTACTTAACAAACAGCCCCCTTTGTTTTCCGTGCACAGCCAACAACAAAAGCTGAAACATGTCCATTATGTCGTCGACTTGGCTGGCTCTCTTTACGCTTCAGTGGCTCCCAGAAGGCGGAAGGGCAGAGGGAGGGGTTGGCGGTACGGTATGGGGGATGAGGATAAGAAGGGGGAGAGGGGTGAGCAGGCGGCAGTCCAATACAAACAATTTAAGGCGCGCACACACAGTGGCACAAAATAATAATCAACAGCCAAGGCAACATGCGCAGCTTGGCAACAACAATGGAAATGAAATCAACAAAAAATCATAGCAAGAAATGGAAATCAATCGAAAGAGATATGCCGAATTATAGATGCTCTACTTGGCAGACCGAAGATACAGATACAATATCTTGATCCCGGTAGAAGGGATAGACAAAGGGTACTGTACTGTAAGGGATGTAAATGGATTTTATATTTCCAAAGTTAATTTAGGAGTTAACAAACAAAGTTCAATCTCCATGAAATCATAAAAACTAAAACTGAGATATCAAACCTTTAATACCCAGAAGGGCATTTCATAAGTGTTAGCCATAAGATATACAAATTGTTTGATCGAGCAAAGGAAACGTTGATCTTGGGCATGAATCGAAGGTACGCATGTGCTGTCTGCGGTGTAATAAGTAGCCGTTGACTGGGGCCCTCGATGAGGAAAGTTGAAATCACTCCGGGATCATTGCTACTTTACTTAACCCGGGTCTTGACTTGACCACCGCCGCTCTGTGTGCCACATACTCAGTGCTCTTTTGATGGCTCCGACGGATGGACATCTCAAGTGGCCAACTCGACTGCTTCTGATTCAGTGGGTAAAACACAAAAAATATTAAAAAAAAAAAAAAAACTGAGGATCTGGAGGGGGAACAATGGAAAAGTGCCTTAAAATGTTGACAAATATTTAACATGCAGTGGCCGCAAAATTATTTGATCAAGACCCCCGAAAAAAATGTATACAGAGAAAGATATTTTCCTTTCGCCCGGCACACACAGCGAGATATTGTACAAAATTAAAACTGAAACTTGAAGACATGCGGCTAATGAGATTTCCTTGCGTCATTGCCCCATTCATACATTTTCGATTGCGATTTGTTTGCCTTGTGTTTTGGTTTTTGGTTTTTGATTTTCGGTTTCTTTTCTTTTTGGTGCCGCAACTTCAGACCAATATTTGAGCAATCGCTGGAGTCGATTGTCTCTAGTTCTGTATGGTCTTGTCTGGGTTAGCCAGGACGGAATGCCCATGCCCATGCCCATGCCCTTGCCCATGCCCGAACTTCCCCTTGGAACTTGGAACTGTCAGCGGCAGTTGGTTGTGAACAATGCAGGCGACGGCGGCACTCCAAAATGGACAGGGTCGAAAAAAGTTAATTTAATTTCGAGTGTGTGCAACAATTGTCATTCGCCTTTCCTCCTTCTTCCTTCGTCCTTCGCCCTGCGCTTATCCCTTTCTGCCACGTCGCTCTCAGCTGGAGAATAACAATCGCAGATACACGAACCCACACACCCGCCCTGTTGTTTTGCATATTGTTTTACAAGATTGCAGGCTTCGGCATCGCTCCTTCGACTTATCTTTGACGCAAAGAAAATCTCATTAAATAACTTCCTGCGCTTTCAAGTCCTGCCAGCATCCTGTGACAGAATCATACTCTATCTCTCTCCCGTTCGCTCCTCGGCAGAGCCAAAAGCTGAAACTTTGAACTCTCATGTATTCGGATTCGTTCAGCGAGCCATGAAATTACATTTTGCTTTTCTTGCGGCGGAAGTCTTCCTCTTGCGGAAAAAGTCGAGAAGAAAACACCGACCGGAAACCCATGGAAACGTGAAATTTTGTTAAAAGTTCAAGGAAACTTTGTGTGCTTGTGGGCTGCTGGCCTGCCATTTTGTTAACTGAAATCTCTGCTGGCAAGTTGCTAGAATTGTGTTCTGTCATATGCAGATGTCGACAGTTGCGGTCGCAATGCTAGCACTGAAAACTGGGCTCTTACTATGTTAATGAGATTGTAATACATATATTAAGAAGATGAAAAACTACTATTATCCTACAAGTAAGGTTTCCTAGAACTAGAACTAAAGGATTTGGCTCAAAAAAATCCTCTCAAATGACACATGCCAAAGCGAGAAAAGGACCTCGAAAAACAACATATCACATTCCCAGCTTAACAGGAAACTCAAATTTCAAACAATAAATGCCTCAAGGAGCTCACAATTTATACAATATTGCGAATTCCGGCAGCCAAGCATTTGACACCTCCTACAGGCCGATTATACAATCGTTAACTGCAGTTTTCCAATCTAAATCCCCATCCCAATACCATTTCCCACTCTTGGCCCAGTAACTTGAGACACCCAACAGATTCTGTTCCTGACTTTGCCCATCGACACGCTCTCAGGGTGTTAATATAATTTTTTGTATAATTTTTCTAATAACAGAACAAAACCTGAAGAAGGCCGGGGGAGAGAAATTGAGAGCTGCATGGCGATGGATATCATAAGCATTGTTTTGGCCCGCTCGTATAAACACTGTTTCCGATGGCAAAACGACCTTCCTTTTTTAACCCTGATATCTAACCCTCGGTTAAGGTCTCGCCTCCTTTGAATAATAATAATAGTATAATAGTTGTGAAGAGCACTCCGCCCCTTTGAGGCAACTGTTATTAGTTGAAGGGCGCGTGGTTGGTTCCCTGCTACCCATCATCCCATAGTAATGACATCTCACCGTCGCCTGGGGCCGTTTTTGAACTCGACGGCCAGCTGTGAATTTTATTTGATTTAATTAAACACGATTGCATGGGCTTGCATAATGGCCGTCGATCTGAGAGTTGGCCACTTGGTTTGCTAATCGCGTCATTTATAAATGGGTGAAAGCGCCAGGCAGTTTCTGTTATCAGCATTAGCTATGTTAGTCATATGAGGTCAAATATATACTTATGTTGGTATCACAATTTGAATAACACTTCCAAAAATCGTAAGCTTTGAATTATCAATAAATTGGTTCCAAGGACAAGTCAATCAGTTTGCCAGTCCAAATCTCAGTTCTATTCTACCTTATCAGCTAGATGGGTTGAAATCAAGAAGTGTGGCCAGAAAAGGACTGACCGCTTGACCCTAAGAATTTGGAAAAAACAAATATAAATAGAGCGATCCGCGATTAGCTGGGCGTAGCTATAAAGCCGGGCACTCAGCCGTCGGCGATTCAGTTCGAAACTTTACTTCTCCGCGATCGACAAACTATATACTTATATACGATATGCTCAAGTATCTGATCGTAACTCTGGCCCTGTGTGCTGTGGTGTGTATACGTAATTATATATAAATGTAGCTAAAAGTGGATGATAGAAAACTAATTTTTGCTTAAAACGAGTTTAGTGCAATAAGTTCAAATGTTTCATTCTAGTTGCTTAAAGAAAGTATATATTTATAGGGCAAAGCCGAAGACTGGAAGCCTAAACATGGCATGGAGAACGCGAAAATCCAAATGGATTGTTTGCAGGAAAACCCGCTAAGCAGCGAAACGAGGGCCCAGCTGAGGAACGTTATCCTTCCCGACGAACCAGATGTGCGTAAATATCTGACCTGTATGGCCATCAAGTGGGGCATCTTCAGCGAGCAACACGGCTACAATGCCGAACGTCTAGCTAAGCAATTGAATTTAGGCCTGCCCGAGGAGGAGGCCCTGCAGATCGCCCAGGGCTGCATCGACGACAACTCGCAGAAGAGTCCCACAGATGTGTGGGCTTTCCGGGGAAACCAGTGCGTAATGGCCAGCAAGATAGGCGACACCATTAAGGCCTTTATGGAGGCAGAGATGAAAAGATTGCCGCGGGGTAGGATGTAAACAATGCTCTTGTAATAATTAATAAATGTAACATCCAATATCATTTCTCCAAAAATTATAATGATTTCCACATTTTGGGTGCGGAATAACTAAGGCAGATCAAAAGCAATGCAAAACTGGATTCATCCGCTCTGCCCATAAGTCGACTTTAATCCCTGGCGCTAAGCACAAGACTCCAGAAAATAGAATCAGAAACTTGGGGTATAGTTTGTTGGCAATCTCAAGTCATTGAGATCACAGCAATCGATGAGGATAGCTGACAAGATCTGGGAATGGATATCATTCCTATCCTATCAGAGCCACAACCTACTAGCTTAAGCCTCGTTTATGCCAATAAGAAAACAATGAAAATAATCGGACAATAGAATATTAGAACCCTTTACGCCTTCCACACAATTGCCATTTAAAAAGAAGAATGATAAAAGGGTATGTTTCCAAGATAAATGTTATAAACTGTGTAGAGGGACAATTCAAATATTAATCAAGACAGAGTTAAAATAGAAAATAATTGATGAAATACATTAAAGATAATCATAATCCGAATAACACTTCTAAAGTTTTAAGATTTGAATTATCAATAAATGGGCTCCAAGGACAAGTTAATCAGTTCCTCATAGCAAACAGATGCTATTGTCAGTCCAAATCTCTGTTTTATTTCAACCTTATCAGCTATGTGGGTTGAAATTAAGAAGTGAGGTCGGATAAGGACTGAACGCTTGACCCTAAGAATTTGGAATGAACATATAGAAATGGAGCGATCTGCGATTAGCTGGGCGTTGCTATAAAGCCGGGCACCCAGCCGTCGGAGATTCAGTTCGAAACTTTACTTTCCCGCGATCATCCAACTATGTACTCGTATTCCAGTATACTCAAGTGTCTGATCGTAGCTGTGGCCCTGTCTGCAGTGGTTTTTGTTGTCTATGTGAAAATTGTGAAAAAGGTTTTAAAGTTTATGTTATAAATTGAGTATGAGCAAAAAACGATCCTTAAAATTAAAAAACCTTTTGTTGTCGTACACGACATACGAGTATTAAGTTATAAAATAAAATTGTGAAGATTTTACCTTTATTTAGTACTCTTAGCTTGTGACATAAAGTATCTGATGTTAATATTTAATTGTTGATAAAAATAGTATATTTCCAGGACCATGCCGACGACTGGAAGCCAAAACGTGGCTTGGAGAACGTGAAAATTCATATGGGTTGTTTTAGAAAAACAACGCTGAGCAGGGAAGCGTACTCTAAACTGGAGAACCTTATCTTCCTCGACGAATCAGAAGTGCGCCAATATGTGACCTGTGTGGCCATCAAGTGGGGCATCTTCAGCGAGCAACAGGGCTACAACGCTGAACGCCTAGCTAGGCAATATAATTTTGGCCTGCCCGAGGAGGAGGCACTGCAGATCGCCCAGAGCTGCATCGACGACAACTCGCAGAAGAGTCCCACAGATGTGTGGGCTTTCCGAGGAAACCAGTGCGTAATGGCCAGCAAGATAGGCGACACCATTAAGGCCTTTATGGAGGCAGAGATGAAAAAATTGCCGCGGGGTAGGATGTAAACAATGCTCTTGTAATAATTAATAAATGTAACATCCAATATCATTTCTCCAAAAATTATAATTATTTCCATATTTGTGTGAGGAATAACTGGGGCAGATCAAACGAAATGCAAGAACTGGAATCATCAGCTCTTCCCATAAGTCGACTTTAATCCCTGGCGCTAAGCACAAGACTCCAGAAAATAGAATCAGAAACTTGGGGTATAGTTTGGTTGGCAATCTCAAGTCATTGAGAACACAGCAATGGGTGAGGATAGCTGACAAGATCTGGGAATGGATATCATTCCTATCCTATCAGACCCACAACCTACTTACTTAAACCTCGTTTATGTCAATAAGAAAACAATGAAAATAATCGGACAATAGAATATTAGAACCCTTTACGCCTTCCACACAATTGCCATTTAAAAAGAAGAATGATAAAAGGGTAAGTTTCCAAGATAAATGTTATAAACTGTGTAGAGGGACAATTCGAATATTAATCAAGACAGAGTTAAAATAGAAAATAATTGATGAAATACATTAAAGATAATCATAATCCGAATAACACTTCTAAAGTTTTAAGATTTGAATTATCAATAAATGGGCTCCAAGGACAAGTTAATCAGTTCCTCATAGCAAACAGATGCTATTGTCAGTCCAAATCTCTGTTTTATTTCAACCTTATCAGCTATATGGGTTGAAATCAAGAAGTGAGGTCGGAAAAGGACTGAACGCTTGACCCCAAGAATTTGGAAAGAACATATAGAAATTTAGCGATCTGCGATTAGCTGGGCGTTGCTATAAAGCCGGGCACTCAGCCGTCGGCGATTCAGTTCGAAACTTTACTTCCCCGCTATCGTCAAACTATATACTCGTTATTCAGTATGCTCAAGTACCTTATCGTAACTCTGGCGCTGTGGTGTGCTGTGGTGTGTATAGTATATAGTATACGTAATTAGAAAAATGTCACAAAGTAAATTAACAAAACTTAAAAGGATTATTACAAAAAACTATACTTAGAAAGAAAAGGTTTTTTGTTGTCCTTCTACACGGCCGATAATATTATACAAAAATTCACCCAAATCAAGTTAATGTCAATAAGTTTAAGTGAGTCGTTCTAATACTTAGTTGCTGATATAAATTACATATTTATAGGGCCATGCCGATGACTGGAAGCCCAGACATGGCGTAGAGAACGCGAAAATTCAAATGGAATGTATTGAGGAAAATCCGCTGAGCAGGGAAGCGTACACTCAACTGGAGAACGTTATCTTCCTCGACGAACCAGATGTGCGTAAATATGTGACCTGTATGGCCATCAAGTGGGGCATCTTCAGCGAGCAGCAGGGCTACAACGCTGAACGCCTAGCTAGGCAATTTAATTTTGGCCTGTCCGAGGACGAGGCCCTGCAGATCGCCCAGAGCTGCATCGACGACAACTCGCAGAAGAGTCCTACGGATGTGTGGGCCTTCAGGGGAAACCAGTGCGTAATGGCCAGCAAGTTCGGCGACACCATTAGGGCCATCATTGAGGCGGAGAAAAAAAAATTGCGGCGGACTAGGCTGTAGATATACCAATAGCCCAATAAAGAGAGTCCATCACTTGTGCTGGAATGCAACCATTCGAATGGGATAGTTTATTGTTTTCAGGCTAAGCAGGGGAACAGCAAAACCACAATTACAAGTGCACCGAACTACGACTACTGAGCGTGTGGGTCTACGGGAGGAATGGGGTTATGGCTTGAAGACCTGGCCGTCTATGCATCCCCGCCCTCCGATATGGTCTTCATGGCCACATTGATGTGCTCCACCAGCGGCAGTTCGCTGTCCAAAGCCGGATTTCGGAAGCTCTCCAGGAAGTAACAAGTCTCGGTACCGCCGGGATTGGGGAACTCCTTGGGCAAGAAGGAGGGATCCCGCGGCTGTAGATCGAACTCAAAGCCCTCGTGTTTGGTCAGCCAACTGGACAAAGGATTAGGTTTGAAATTGTTAGAAAAAACATTTTAAATATTTATAAAAAATCCCAACTTACTCCTTGGTTGTGGGGCTGACATTGATCTTCAGCGCCTCGCTGCCCGACTCGAATTTGTTGGCTATGGTGACGCTGTGCCCGAAGAGGCAGTACCTGGGCATCTTCCTGCCCACCACTCCGGCGAGGACCGTGCCCGTGTGCAGGCCAATCCTCATTTTGATTTGCTCGCCGTCGTGGGTAATGTGCTTCGAGCAGGCATCGATCATCTTGAGCGCCATCCATGCCACCTTGTGAGCATCGTAGATGGAGGCGCGGTGGAGTCCGCTGGCTACGCAGTAGGCATCCCCTATAGTCTCCACCTTGTAGACATCGAAGAAGTCGCAGAACTCATCAAAGTCCTTGTACAAACCCTCCAGCATGCTGATCACCATGAAGGGAGTAGCCCTCGAGCAGATGCTGGTGAAGCCCACAATGTCGCTAAACAGGATCGTGACATTCGGGTAGGTCTTAGCGTCGATGGAAGAGCCCAGCCATAGCTTCTCGGCGATTTCGGCGGGAAAGATAAGATGCAGTAGGCTGACGTTCTTCTTTCGCTCCTTGGTCACCGCCGAATTGGCTTCCTCGATGCTATTCTTGATTTTATCCATGCGCCTGCGCAAGCCATCCTGTGCCCTGGCCTGTTCGCCCACCAAGATCACCTCCCTGGTGGCATCGTGTAGGGGTATGTCCGAAATGAAAAGTCCATTGCAGGTCAGGCCATCCAAGCCATCCAGGAAGGGCGAGCCAATGAACAGAAGGGAATTCGATTCGGGACAGTGCACCATCTGACCCTTGATCTCCAATCCGATGGCCGGGAAATCCACGGCTCCTGGCGGATTGTTCAATCCAATTAGGAAAGGCGTGTATGTACGCCTTACAATATCCCGGAATTTCATGGTCAGTCCCTTTGGGCGTTTGAAATCAAAGTAGGTCGTCGCCTGGCATCCGAAATCCGCCATATAGGGCTTGTACAACTTGCTGAATCCCCTGCCCAGTTGGACCAACTCCAGTTGCTCGTTCATGATAAAGTGCCAGGGAAACATCTTGCAGAAGCTGGATGAGTTCATTTGCAAGTCCGAGGCATTGCTGGAATTGCTCCTCTGCACCGTTTCTGGAATAGTTTTGCTCACGGAGGCAGGGCGTCCCATTAGCATTGTCTGGGAGTTATCCTTGACCAGCGAGAAGAGATAGCGATACCTGCGGGCATCTCCCTCCACGGGTTCGATCTTGATGTTCACATCTACCTTATAGAGCATTCGGGTGAGGGCCTTTAGAGAGCCCAGAAGCAACCAGGCAATCACCGGACGCTCCGAGGTGAAGATCAGCTCTCCCTCGCCAGCGCACACAAATCCAGTGTCGGTGACATCCTCCTGATAAGAAAAGGGATTTCAAATTCAATATGTAATATTGTTATTGATCGAACTCACCTCCTGTAGCTTCAGCACATCGTAGACCCCATCAAGAGAACCTAGAAATTCCTGTAGGTCGGTGCCCAGGCAACGGAAGGCTCTTTCAATTATTCCCGTGCAGCAACAGGTGATCAGCTCCTCGCCCAGAAGCACTAGGATCTCGCTGGCACTCGCCTCATCCATCTTCAGAAGCAGCTCCTGAATGTCTGCCAGATAATCATAGTTGGCGCAGCTCTTGAAGGTCTGCGGGTCCAGTTTCCTAAGGGGAGTAAGGTGGGTAAGATTTATGGAACAACTATAAAAACATAAGCTAATAATATATATTGAACTTAAACTGAGGACTTGGTAAAACTAGTGGCTTAAAGTGATCCTAAGTCGTATTATTAAGTTTTTACTCACAGCTTGTGAATGTTGGGCCAGTTCTGGCGGTACTTGGCCACCAAGGAAGTGACTGCCGTGTTGAGATCCTCGTTCGATGGTGCCGTCAGAAGCTGAATGGCCATCTGGAGGTGCGTGAGGGTTAGGGCGTCATCCGATAGCTCCTCATCCTCGAGCGCCCAGTGGCCACCAGGCTCGGCGATGACCGAGGGCTGGCGTGTCAGCGAGTCCGCTCGCCTAAAGAAAGGACACGCCATGTCGCGTGCTTGCTGCTCAAGTGGACTCTATTCGATCTATTTCGAGGATTAAACAGGAATCAGCTTATTAGGGGCTTTATAAACATTTCAATTATTGGCCACAAGTCAATCAATGAATTTTTAAAAACCCATTTTCCTGCTGGCAACTTAATTGAATGTATCTTTGATATTCATTTTAATATTTTACGAATTTTGAAATTATTAGTTGGTCATGATATAATTAAGGCTAACTAAAATAAATATTTCTGTTGCATAATTTGGAATTGGATAATGATTTTAGCTCTTTAGATAACTCGATGACCTAGTAACTTTACTTAAACCCATTACAGGACTTTCAATCAATCTAAATGAAAATTGTATCTGAGATGCTACCAATTTTATGGGTTCTCCCCTTGGACGTTCAGCCATTGATTCGATGTGTATAGTGCATTTTCCGCTGGGCTTTCCCCTGCCATTTTTTCAAGTTCAACGTGCACTTGTATGAGGAGGTGGTTGGGGTGTTACTCTGTACATGGTACACCACCCACTGTTGGCCCACAAGGGCTCATGTCCCTGCTGTATCTTGTGTGCCCAACTCGAGTGGTTTTCCTCCACGGAGGTCAAGTGTGTGCCAGGCTTGCTTTCTTTAGTTCTTGGCAAGGCTCCCACTCTTGCTTTCTGGCCAGTCCCATTACCATAATTTCATTTTGCATAATTTACGAGGGTGGAGGAGGTTCTCTGCAGGCCCACCCCATCCCCGCCAGCTGCTGTGGCCCGATGTGTGTCACACTGGTCAGCTTTAATTTTCACCACCTCCTCGCTTTTCTTTACAGGAGTGTGTATTTGCTTACAGGAAGCCCCCATGGATATGGATACACAATTTTCCAGTTCTTTCACAAGGTTTTTCCGCTTAAGGCACTAGGGCCTTCATGGGCCACGCTTAACCATAGCCTACTTTTGGGCTGTCACTTACTTAGATTAAAATATTTAAATTTTATTCACTGGCTTTTCTGCTCTTATTTCAATACTTTAAGGTGGCAAAAATCGTTGTGGAATTTCTTTGGGAGCTAAGGAATTTTTTCGCACGCCTGAAAAATGCCACAACTCGAAACGGAATGAACTTTTGGACAAAATAAGGTGGCGAAAAAGTCTAGGGCAAGCGAAGCTTTCCGGAGAAAGCTTTTCCAAGTGAAAGTGTGCAGAGATTGTTGCATTGTTTTGACGATACAAAGAGAGCGAACGAAGGAAAGAGCGACGGCGCATGAGTATGTCTCGGATTGAATTTGATGCTGTCCGGAAAGCTCTGCCAACGGTCACTTCTCAATTAACCTGTTGCGCGAGCAGCGCTCTCCAAGTTCCCGCTCTCAACTAATAACAAAGGTGAAAAGTAATCAATCTGCCCTCCCATATCCGTAAATGTATCTGTATCTGTATCTGTGGCAAGGTATCTGCAGAATGCTGCATATGCTGCACACCACATGTCCGGCTAAAAACTTTTCACTCTCCAGAAACGTGAAACTTTTCAGCGTTCGCCGCCAGCCCAAGTCCAGCGAATCGAAAAATTATATAGTACGCCTCAGTTTATTGACGTTGGCCGCCCGTGCGCAACGTGTTCTTTTCCATTGTTTTCATTTCCCGGGGGCCACTACACGATTTTTGTTTATTCTTTCGATCCGCGCTCGCATCGTGTGAAAGTGCAGCTTGACTAAACCTTTTTTTTCCGTCTCTAATAGTTGTAATTTGCACTAATTACCGCCGCAATGAACGATTTCGGGCAGTTCGTAAGTGACTCAGGTTCTTCTTACTTCAGTCGGGGTTTCGAGTTTCAGTGATATGGAAATTGCAGCTTTATAAGCATAAACAATACCCCATTATATATGCGTGCACTGCGGATGCTTTATCTAACCGCAGAAAGTGGAACTAAAAAAAGAACACAAAGCTTCGTCCTTGACCTTGCACATCTCTCAGGTTCTCTGGAGCGCACCGAAAGCTCCTGCAACGAAAGCGAAAGTTGGAAGGTCCCTCTTGAAACCGAGGGGTGAAACCACTCCCACCTCCACTCCCCAAACCAATGATAATTTCATGCAAATTTACATCTCCATAAAGCCCATAAATGTTTGACGAGGAACCGGGGCGAGCCAACCCCAAGAACGAACGCTTTAATCTAATCAGCCCCAAAACCATTCGATTTCCCTAATCACACAGTTTAACTGTAGTTTGGACCTCCGCGGTTTGATTTGCGATAATCGCTTAGTCTATTTTAGTTCCAAGCAACGTCTTAAATTCTCAAAAAAATACTTATGATACCGCCCACGCTAGCATTGCTTGTAATTTTTGTAATAATTTTGAATGATTTAATGTAAGGAGAAGAATAATTATGATACTTAATTTAAAGAAATACTTAATACCGCACAAAACTAGATTATGGAAGATAAATATTATTCAAAAAAGCTTTCTTGTTTTTATGGTTTTATTTATTAAAATTGTAAAAAATATTTCTTGTTTTTTAAAGGCCAAAGCCCAGGCCTCCAAGTTCGTGCCGTTTCTGGTGACCCTCGTTCTGTACTTCTCGTTGGTGCGAAAGGATCCCCAAGGAGAACTATGGACCACAGTGCTCAAGTGTCTGCCCATTGTGGCTCTCATGTTCTATGTGGTGGCCAAGGGAATCACGCTCAAAAAGGAGTAAGATTTATAATACCTAATTATTTAGTATTTTTATTTTAAATATTTATTTTAAAGATACCGCCGCTCACTTTGGATTCTCCTGGGCCTGGTTTTCTCCTGTGGGGGTGATGCTCTGCTCAATATAAACCTCTTTCCATTCGGAATGATCTCCTTCGGAGTGGCGCATGTCTTTTATATCAGCGCCTTTGGATGGAAGCCTGTAAAGTGGTTAATTGGATTGGTACTCTACATTGCCGTCTCACTTTGTAAGTTTTTCAAACTGTATTAATTTATAATATTATGATATATATCTTAATTAAAATGTTTAAAATACCATACCTAATTATTATATTTCACTTCAGTTATTTACTTTGTGCACAAGAATCTGGACGAGATTCTCATCATCGGAGTGCCGATCTACTGTTTCCTCATAACCACAATGCTGTGGAGAGCTCTAGCTCGAGCGGTGGATTCCAAGAATTTCCTCACCGTATTCTGCGCCATCGGAGCTATTCTGTTTGTGATCTCCGATGCCCTGATCGCTGTCACTATGTTCGTGGGCGTGCCCCTGCCCTGCGCCCGCCTTCAGATCATGATCACCTACTATGCCGCCCAGTTCGCCATTGCGCTGAGCACAGCGGATGATGGTCCGGCAGTCCAGCGGTCTCTTCGCAAGAAAATCAAGTGAGACCAGTGCCCAATGCTCATCTATTGGAAACCCATAGACAACATGAACGCAACCACCAAATTTAGTACTTCCAAACCGTCTAGATTAATGCCATTTACGTGTGTTGGTTTCCCCATCCCAGTAGCATAGTGTAACCAAATATATTTTCCGTTTCTCTGGTGGATGTGGAAACGGATCTTAGTAGAGTTATTTAGATGTTTGTTGACTTAAAAAAATAAATATATTAATGTTAACTCCAGTACTTAATAACTATTTTTATTAAAACCGATGTTTGTACATCATAAAAATCCCTAAAAAGGGCGTAATCCTAGAAAAATATGTCTGCAAAACTAATCATCGCTACTGTAGCTTTCTTCTGAGGTCGAATCCTGGCGAGCACGTCTTCCGCGTCCCCGTCCAGAAGCCTTCTTGGCGGCAACCGGCTTACGACCACCAGTCTTTGGCCTGCCCGGCTTGGTCCTATTCGCCTGACCTTCCGCAGTGCTAGAGCCCTGTTCGCCTGGTTGCGCACCTGAATCCGGATTGACCTGCAGGCACTCGTTCAGTCGGTTCTCGAACTCGGTGACCACTGCTTTGAGCTCCGGTTTCGCCAGCTTGTTAGTGTTGCTGATGATCAGTTTGAAGGACTGGTAAACCTCATCCACCTGAACCTTGTCTCTGAAGTGTTGTATGTTGTCCATTAGCTTTTTCACTGCTCGCTCATTGTATGTGAGTAGGCCCAGGCAGTAGGCGATGTCACGCCACTGCCGCTCCACACGAGTCACCGGGAAACGCAAGCACAGCTTCTCGACCAGCGTCTCGATCTGGCGATCCTTCTGGATGAGGCCAAGGATGTAGGACATGATCACACGGTACTTGTCCTCGTCGAGACCAAGTTTGATATCACCCAGCCGTGAGATGATGTCCGGCAGGACATTATACAGAATGTTCGACTTGTTTGCTATCTCCTTGAAGAACTGCTTGGTGATATTGCGGATCTCATCGTTTCCATCCACGATGCATAGGGCCATGTCGGCGATTTGACCTTTGACGCGGATCATTTCATTCAAGATCAAATGGGAGAGCATTTTAACAGCAGTCAGTCTCAACTCGGTGTTCGATTCGTGCAGCTGGGCGTAGAAGTGTCCGGTCCACGGCTCGATAATATTCGGGAAGCGGAAAGTCAGATCCGACAAGCCAACCACAGTGTTGCACTTGATCCGTATGTTCTTTGTTAGGTTGAGGATGTTCATTAAGAAGCTCATGTTGGACTCGCAGAACCTGGAGGACACGGTCATTAGACGGGCCAGAGCCAAGGTGGTCGCCTGCTGCAACTTAGGATCCCGAAATTCTCCTGGGCGCTTGCAAATCTCTATGATGAACGTCGCCAATTTGGAAAGTAGGGCATCAGGGTTGTATAGCAACATATCCTCGCATATGCCGTGGATCTCCTCGGCAATATTGTCCTCAGCAGTGGCGCCCACCAAATCATCGTCCGGTTCCTGCTGCGGTTCCGCCGCAACTCCAGATAGTCTCTTCCGCACCTCCATGGCTGACATATTGAGGGTTTGCCTGGCCGCATTCGGTGCATTGCCAACCTGTTGATTTCTATTTTTTCGCTCTTCTTGGGCCGTCAATTCGTCGCGGTACTTCATGTTGTTATAGATGTCCATGTCAAGAAAGATCATCTCCTTTATGGTCATATAGCCGATGCAGAAGACTAATCGCGAGACTAGAAAAACGGGAATCAGACTGCCCTGTGTCTGGGTTAAGATATCGAGCTGGGTAGATGGAAGGGTCTGTGAGTAGGGTATCTCCATCGGCTGTGATTCTCGAACGTTCTCCTTATCCACCACTTCTGGAGAAGCAACCTGAGCAGCTGCTTCCTTAACAAGCCAACTCTCGTTGAAACGCTTAAGCAATGTTACCACCAGTTGCTGGGCTATAACATCCGGAGCCTGGCACATTCTGTAGAAATACTCAAAGACGCTCATCGCTAGACCATCAAAGTCCGATAAATTCTTATGAAAGAAGAAGTCGAGGAAGAGCCGCGTGATTTTTCCCACGAACTCAGCATCGCTATTCTGGCGCTTGTAATACTTTGCAGTGTTGTTTGCGTCGATTGAGTTAACCAGCAGCTGTAGGCAGGAGGTGAAAATTCGCGGGTCTCGGCGTACCCGCTCTCCGACAGCAATGTCTTCTATGATAGCGGTGTTGGCTGAAACAATGCTGGCTTTTGATTGCGAGGCCATGATCAGGAGCTGGATCGACAGGCGAGATTCGTTGGCGGTGGTGCCCTCTAATTTTAGGGTGAAGCGCTCGAAGAGCACCTGGATTACAGCGGCGTCGATGTCACCACCGGACACCCACTCGGCCATTAGTGATTCCATGGCCGTGTAGTGGCCGTATTCGATCTCCGAAAGAAATTTGGAAAGGTTCTGCACCACTTTAATGGCGTGAGCACGACCCGTTTGGTCTGTGGAGAAGAGAACCCGCTTGTAAGCATCGGATACGGCATCACGCTTCTCCTTGTCTGAGGACCAGACCAACTGTAACATCCGCTGCATTCCAGACTCTGTGCCGTGGATACCGAACATATACCCGGTGGTAAATAGATCAACTGCCTCAAATACATCCGTATTCGTCTTGGACATAAGCATCTCATGCAGTTTGGGAAATGCTGAAGTCATCAGGACTGCAAAGTCTATGCTGTCCTTGAGGAACTGAACCGTTTTGATCTGCTGCAGCATCTCCTCGCTCTGAAGGTTAAGTGTTGGTTAGTAAGAGCTCATTTTGTATTAATGCAGAAACGTACGCTTTGTTTAAATCCAGCGGCCAACAGGTGATATGTCTTTAGCAGGGCCAGCACATATACGCAATGTTCTTCGTGTTTCAGCAGGGAGCTGAAATTTTTTATATTTATTTACATTCCTGAATAACAATTCGTAATCAGCAACGCACCTCATATTCTGGTTTCCAGCCAAAAAATCCACCTTCCTCACCAAAACAATGGCATCCTTGTAGTTCTTTTCCCGCATCAGCGGCACTATTCTCTCAAGCAATGACTCGTCGCTCTCTTCCTTGTCAAACTGCATGTCGGGAACTGCAAAATAACAGTCATAAATACCGTAAACTACAGGAATACCTTGGACTTACACTCCGTAAGGTTAGCCTCTATGCAAGGGAGAAGTTCGGGCGCCAGAGAGCTAAACTCATCATTCAGCTTCTCCTCCTGTTTGCGTTCTTCCTCGAGCACTTCATTCAGTTTTTCCATGGCCGTTACCTCGAGCTCATGCTTTGCACGCAGTTCCTCTAGTGAAAGTTTGCTGGAATAGGGATTGCTTTCTAGGGCGGATTTAATCAGCTGCATGGCAGCACGCCGCACCAGCGAGCTTTTGTCCTCCAGCCTTCCAATAGCTTCGTCCAACACTCTGGTCAGGAAGTTAAGCGGAATGGCGTGCTGCACTTTTAAGTGGTGCCAAATGCTTAGCACCTTGGAGCGCACGTGTGCCGATATATCCAAGATATGTGCAATTAAGTGCTCAAGGAACTCGTTGCGCACTTCCTTCAGCTCCTCGCTGAGATCCTCCGAGGTCAGTTCGCTGACCACCGTATCCCCGATAATCTGTAAAACACAATTTCGCAACATGTGCGACTGGCAATCTAGTAGGTCATCAGCCAGTTTTTCTAGATGCGGGATGATCAACGAAGGGGCAATATTTGAGAACTCTGCCAAAAAACTGGAGAAGTGCTTGGACACCGTTGAATCGGAACTATCTAGTTTCAGGGCGTCCACGATGCTCTTGATAAGAATAGAAAAGACGGATGAGATTCCGTACTCTTCGTGCAATAGTAGAATACCGGCTGCGACGGATGTTGATGCATGTTCAGTGCCGCGCAGGATCTGTAGAATGCGAACTGGGAAGGTCATGGCCTGGTTGAAGCGTTTAATAGAGGTTCCCAGGATCTGGAAGATTGTGTCAAAGACGTGCTTGTTATCTGCGCGAAGAGGCAGCAGTTCTATTGTTCGGTAGCAGATATCGCAGAGCATGCTGTTAAAGAAATATCATTTCATAAAGGAAAACCTCGATTGCGTAGGCAATTGCTTACGATATAAAGTCCTCCTCCGCGACTGGCGGATTCCAAAGCTTCTCCAGCGGGCACTGCAGCACATTAAAGAGCTGCACGAGGAACTTGCCTCGTTTAGCGTCCCAGTTAGGAAACTGGTCTAGGGCATCCGCATGTTTTGCTCGCTTTTTCTGAACATTCAACACCTGATCCCGCTGAGCCTGCTGGACGCTGTTGTTAATCTTCCTGACGGTGCTTACTTGAAGGTACAGAGTCATCTTGGTGAGATTGAGGTAGCTACATCTTTGCTGGTTAGACATGGGCTCCGGGGCAGTGAGCAGGGGCTGCAGATCCTGGAACAGTTTGTCCACGGTCAGGTAAAGGAGATCAAAGGATCTCATTAGGTTCTGTGTGGATGTGGAATTGGAGCTGCGGTCTTCGAGGATCGAGTAATACAAATCGAAGTGCTCGAATATGTAGAAAGGATCTCCAATGTGAACTTTGCGCTTGCATTCTATTCAAAAGTCGTATAAGTAGTTTAATACAGCTGTACATATTTTAAAAAGCAACCGCGCAAACGGACATTTACCTTGCAATTTTGAGGGGATCTCAGCGCTGCCGAATATCTCCTTCACATAGTAGTGGTCCCCACTGGAGTTTGTGAGGTCGGAGGCTTTTAGGGGAAGAACGAACTGGAAGTCATGCGATTCCTCCATGACGGGTACTTTCCTTCTTTCCACAAAATAAAAACTTAATTGTTCCAAATTGAGTGGCGTCGTTCATAGAGATGAACACAATCGCCGCCAAATCGATTTCGTGAAATCGATTTTCGATTGCTGGTGGAAGAACTATCACAGTTACGCTTCAAAATTATAATAGGGATATTCTAATATTACCGATAGTTTTTTATTTTCGATGAACTCGTATCAAAATCGCTTTGATTTTTAAAATAAGTAAAACCATATTTTTTGTTTTTTATGACCACTGATATTGATTTTAGGTAGCGAATTAAATTCCATTCTATCAAGTTTTCATCACAATATGTAGGTCCACCCTAATGTATGGTACAACGATAGTGCTATCGAAGGTGTTTCACCTCTACTGAAGACGCCATGCAAATTCCATCGCGCTCGCAATAAATAATTTTTTGTTCAAATTTAAAAAGCTTTTAATCTGATAGACAATTCCCAAACTTAACAAAATGCGTCCGCCAGAGTTCAAACTTAACAATCCGCCGGAGGACCTGATCTCCGCCGTGAAATTTGGCCCTAAATCGAATCAGTACATGGCGGCGTCTTCCTGGGATGGAACTCTCCGGTTCTACGATGTGCCGGCAAACCAGATGCGCCAAAAGTTCCTGCAGGATACTCCAATTCTGGACTGTGCCTTCATGGTAAGACATTTCGGTGTATATATTCATGACTCCTATCTTAAACTCCGAACCACAGGACATAGTGCACGTGGTTAGTGGCTCGCTGGACAACCAACTCCGCCTTTTTGACGTGAACACCCAGACTGAAAGTGTTATTGGTCAGCACGAAAAGGCCATCAGATGTGTGGAGCACGCCGAGTACGTGAATGGCATCCTCACGGGAAGCTGGGACACAAACGTGAAGTTGTGGGATATGCGGGAGAAGTGCTGCGTAGGAACTTACGAGCAGAACAACGGAAAGGTATACTCCATGTCTGTCATTGATGAAAAGATTGTGGTGGCTACATCCGACCGCAAGGTGCTAATCTGGGACCTGCGCAAGATGGACAGCTACATCATGAAACGAGAGTCCTCACTAAAGTACCAGACTCGCTGCATTCGGCTGTTCCCCAACAAAGAGGGCTACGTGATGTCCTCTATCGAAGGCCGGGTGGCCGTTGAGTACCTGGACCACGATCCCGAGGTGCAACGCCGCAAATTCGCCTTCAAGTGCCACCGGAATCGGGAGCAGAACATCGAGCAAATCTACCCGGTGAATGCTCTTAGTTTCCACAATGTCTACCAGACATTCGCAACTGGCGGATCCGATGGCATTGTAAACATTTGGGATGGCTTCAACAAGAAACGCCTCTGTCAGTTCCACGAATACGATACCTCCATTTCCACGCTTAACTTCAGCTCCGATGGCACCGCCCTGGCTATCGGTTGCTCCTATTTGGACCAACTGACAGAGACTCCGGCCACCGTGCCTCATCCGGCTATCTATATACGCTATCCTACGGACCAGGAAACTAAGCAGAAATAATGTTTCCTCCGAAGTTCTCTTCATTTATTTGTTAATGCTGTAATTATACAATATTTTATATTCTATTTTCATTTTGCACAAACGTCTGTAATCAGTGCCCATGTCAGCTTGACCAGTATAAAAGAAAGCTCTATGAAACTCATGACCGAGGCCCCCATATAAAGACTTACGATACCTCCAAAATTGGCCAATAAATCTAGGTTTGTGTACTTGAGCTTCGTTATGATTTTGGTCATCACTCGCTGGCCGTAATAAATCTGCGCTGTGATCAATCTATCGGTGGAATTTTTTGGGCTTCAAAAAAGGAAAATACTTTAATTGTTGCCTAAGAAAATATTTTGTTGACTTACTAATCCAGCTTGCGCACATTGAGCGTCATTTTGTACTGGCGTGAGTTGCAGTTATCTGGACAATCACAGAAATGCCCACGTCGGGAGTCGTTAATGTATTTCTCCTGGTCACCCATCTTCACATAGCTGAATATATCGGCATTGCCGCCCAGACACCCTGCGTCCTCAATTCCACACTCACGAATTCCCTCTAAAATAGAAAGATATAAAGAAGGTAGAGGTGTATTTCTTTATAATTTACCAATGGGTGGCAAGAAAACTGGTGTAGAGCAATTGCAAGTCTTCAACACGACTAGATGAAGGCACATAGCCAGGCAATTTTCCCTATTATAGGTTAATGAAGTGTCCAGGAAGTTAGGGTTTTTTTCGTTCTATAGATACTCAGAGTTATATAGGTTTCAATAATCTACATCTACTTACATCAAAGTAGCAACCCCTCTTGCTGGGACTCATTTCATATGTATTTGGGGATGTTTCCGTGACCATTGGATGCACAGCAACGAAGTTTTCCGTATCCGGATATAGGTGGTACATCATTTGATTTGACCATTGACCTGGTTCCTTGATCATCAGCTAGAAAAAAATGTTTATTACATTATATCATCTATTCCTCCTACTTACATACATTCATGCCAAAGGGAACTTCTACGCCATTCCTAACGAAGGAAAAGCTCGCATTGAGTGTGAACTTTACGCCAGATTCCTCACCAGCAGTACTCAGTTTGTAGGGATAGAACTTGTTGGTTAGTTGCTTTTTACGGGAGTGATCCGAAATCAGGGAGTTGAAGACCAAGCACTGGCCCTTCTCCGTTTGTTCAGGCACAAAGAGCTTGCAGCAATCATATGGAGTCTCATCAAACACGCAAGAATCTGGGATAAAGAGTTCATCACATCGATAGGCCAAGTAGTTCATCATCTTCTTCAACTGTAAAAACCTCAATGTTGTGAGATTTCTTTTTGCCAGATCCACTGCCCTGTTAAAATTGGAAAAGGTGACCACCTCCAGAACGACAAGTAGCTGACGGAACGTTTCTCTGAGCTCTGCATTCGGATTTTTGGGTAAAAATCGGAGTAATGCAGATGGAGCCCTTTGCCAATTGACATGGCTCCACGGACATATAGCCACTGCTGGGAAATCGATGTGGTACACTGGCAACTGAGTTGTATCTATCAGGCTGACTAGGGTCTGTTCACTATGGCGATGTCTTAGTGCGGTGTACAGACTGAACCCGGTGATTCCGGCTCCTAAAGCGATAGTAAGCCACAGGCAACGCTGCCAGAGATGTCGTTCTTCGAAGGCGTGCTGCATCCCATGGATGGTGGAGTGGGCAAAGGAGCTACGCAGTCTATCCTTGTACTTTATTCCAAGTGCTTTGTTCTTGAAACGGAGCAGTTCTTGCTTGGGCCGCGGAGCCACAAGTTCCCTCGTGTACAGCAACATGATGAATGGGAAAAGTTTGCTAAAGGTATTGTTAAGGCTGACTGGACTTATTGTCTGCCTAAAGAAAGTATAGGTTCGATATAATTGATAGGAAATTAGTGCCCAAGTTAGTTTCATCCCTGCCCTGTTATTTCACTTCCCTAGTTGGGTAGTTAATTTGATGGTAATTTAAGACTGATTTTTATAAAGGTACCAACTAAAGTCCAACTAGCACTTTCTTTTCGCAATGTATTGACGACGAATCATGAAATTTGTTTGAAATCAATTAATCTATTAACTAAATTTATGCTTATCAGTAAAATCGATCATTGAAGAGTACCTAAACCTTGGGGGCCAGGCTCTTCTGGATCAGGGCAGCATTCTCCCTCAGCAGGCAGGTGGCTCCACGGTAGGCCCACTCGCAGGCGTTGGATCCCTGCTCATTCTTGTCCACGCAGGCGGCCAAGGCGGTGTGGAAGGCCTCGTTGTGGTCGGCATGCTTGCCCACCAGCTGCTGGTGAATGTTCTCCACATTGAAACCAGTCTGGACATCGAACAGACCCCACTTGGTGAAGACACACTTGATGTAGCACTGGGTCGTGGAGTCGTTGGGGTACTCCCACTTTTGGTACTTCTCCACCAGATCCACGGGAACGGCCAGCTCCTTGACGCACTCCTCCCGATAGGACAGCATGTCGTGCCTGTTCTTCACCACATAGTCAGCGGAGGCCTTTAACCCGGAGAAAGACAATAGTTTAGATTTGGGATTCTCAGGGTTATCTCCTTCAAACACTCACCAGTCCAATCAGCACACAGATGGCGACGAAAACCTTCATTTTTGCTTTCCTTAACTTGTTTGTCCGACGATCGAGCGAAGACTGTTCAGAAATAGGGCTACACAGCCGCTATTTATACCCCTCCGAGGGAACCGATTTCGGTTCGGGGATTGGACTTGGTACCTGAGGTGTCTCCAAGGCAAGATTATGCTGCCCGATCCCGTTTTTTTATGCTCCGCTCCAAACATGGGATTCTTTTGTGATTTTGGGTACTTAATGCTTTGTGGTGTGCTCAAGTGGACAACAAAGACTTTCTGGATGCCATCTAATAACCCACGGCCTGAGCAGCTGATAAGACAGCTCCCCTTTAATCTCTGGCAAATTGGCACTTTTAGATTTTTTTTTATTGAAAAACAGATTAATATATGTACTAAAAATGTTTAGCAAACTTAGCACATTTGGCAATCGTATATGTGCACTCAGAGAAACTTGGAATTAACATCAAAATGTTTTCTTAAAAATATGAAAAACTATAAAGGAATTTTCCCATAAACCATTTTTGGATGTTTTTAAATATGGAATAAGCGAATGCTCAATTCTCTAATTCTCTATTCCTGTTTAAATATGACCTTTTAATCGATTACATATATGCATTAACCATACGAGGTGTGTTCAAAAAGTAAGGTGACTCTTCAAATTTCGCGAATTTCAAATTTTTCGATTATCGATTTTTTTGTTTTGTTATATTGGTACACTCTTCCCTAACATCTGTACCAAGTTTCAATGGAACATCCTCTTTTGTTTGGTTGTGAGAGGCGTAAAGTTACAAGTTATTTTGCGAGCTCGGCGATTTTTTGCTATCGAAAAATATGGATCAAAGGATTTGGATTTTTTGGCCAAAAACAACACCACAATAATGCCTCAGCCACCATATTCACCGGATTTGGCCCCATGTGACTTTTTCTTGTTCCCAAAACTGAAGATAATCGAAAAATTTGAAAAATTTGAAATTTGAAAAGTCACCTTACTTTTTGAACACACCTCGTATAACTTCTAAAAGGTTTCGATAATCGAAAAATTTGAAATTCGCGAAATTTGAAGAGTCACCTTACTTTTTGAACACACCTCGTATATTCTAAGTGCATTCTAACAAATCATTTGGATTTGTATTAGTATATATTTCGATAGCCCTGTCTGGTGCGGCTGCACTTGAAAATTTTCCATTAACTGTGCAGGTAGTTAAACTCAAAACGATTCTCCTAATGCGTTTTGTTTTGGATTTATTTATGTATGTATCCCAAGAACCAGGTGTTTGTATATTTGTATATGTGCCCTGATTACAGGTAAGTATGGAAACGTGAGAACGCAGCTGCAGATGGCTAGAGTTTCAGAGATTTCCACACTAGGGATCATGGGGAAGGCGACAGCAGGCGAAGTGATCTAAGAAGGTGTTGAAACAGCCCAGAACCGAGATGCCCATGATCAGGCCAGCTATTCCTCCATAGGAAACTGAGGGTTAAAAGGCCGAGTAATTTGTATAGGAGATCCGATATAGTCCCAAACTTACCCATCAAATCGATCAGGGTGAATCGGAGCATAGAGCGGTAGGAGAAGAGAGTTTCCTCTTGAAAATACACATCTATCTCGATTTCCGTGGCATGGGCGGTGTGTGTGCTCAATTTCTCGGTGTAAGTTGAAGTATGATATTGGGTGTGATTACACTCAGGAAAACAGCCGCAATCATAGGTTGTGAATATATTGTCCCTGGACTCCTCGATGATGTTGCTCATGGAAAGCAGGGAAACTAAATCAGGTATTTTAATAATATATCCACAGTCAAGACTTACGCTTATGCTTATTGAAACAGGCAAAGTCCGAGATACCACAAGTCCTAGTACTGCTGCTTCCTTTTGCATCTGCAACATTTTTCTTTTTAGAACCGTCTTTATCATTCCAATCGAAAGTGCAATTGCACTTCTCAAAAATATATTTGAAATGGCACTTGTAGATGCATTCCGATCGGGATTGGTTACGCTGTGAGATTTCATTCTAAAATGTAAGTTATTTAGAGTTTAAATACGTTATCATTTGAATGCCTTTCCTACTCCAAAATAGCAGCGACGCATCTGAACAGGACGGGCGCGGACCTCTGCTTCAGCTGTAAAGTGAAGTGGTTCCACCGGAACCACAATGCGATCCTCCGAGGAATAATCAATGCTCATGCCCAGATACTGAGTTGGCTCGTGTACTATGACCTGTTATATGATAAGCATAATTAACTAATTATATAGAATTTGTAGATAATGTAACTAACCCCTAGTGAATTCACTATAAACTGACTGTGCTGCCGTTTGATCTTGACATAGAGACCGCTGTAGGAACCCGAGGCAGCCACTTTCCAAGCTTCATTTCTTCCCGAGGAGAGAAGGGAATTGAACTCGAAGGCAAACCCATTAAAGGTCTTTCCAGCACTGAATATTTCACAGCAATTCATTGCCTTGCGACGCCACTGGCACTCGGTGAAAAAGTACTTGCAATTCATCTGCCAGGACTTGGTGATATCGGAATTCCTAATGTTCCAGTTGTCGTAATCAGAGAACTCCGTGAAGTTCTCCTCCGTCAGACGAGCTGACATCGGGGTCTGCCAGATCACGGACTGAACCAAATTGTAGACCTTGGAAAACTGCTGCGATTTATTTGATGTATGCAGACTGGTAAAGTTAAGCGGAATAATGGTGACGGCCGGAAAGTCAATCTCAGAGACATGCATGTCGGTCCTTTCAATGGAGGTCTGAACCCAGTAGTAGAAATACCGTTCCGAGGACAAAATACTGACGTATACAGTGCATAAAGCGGCGATTATTTTTAGTGGAACTCTTGCATATCTATACAGAAAAATCAATAAATTTACGTTTTTTTTGGTGGAGTTTTAAGTACAGCAACTTATAGTTAAAAAATGTATAAAGGATAGCATCGGTTTACTCACCTCCTAGTCGATACCCATCTATTTGCATCCTTTCTCCTTTGCCTCTTCGACTTCTTGTGGTCATCATCATTATCCTTGGGGGTCGGTTCTGGCTTCCACGCAATTGCACTCATTTCACTCAACGGCTGAACTATGACTGTGGGAAAGTCGAGGCTAATTGGCAGTTCTGGCCGCTAATCAATGAGTTCGACAGCCACTTCTGTCAGCGGGCTTATCAATGGCAGGAAACATAACTACTCAATTACAAAGCTTGTGAGCCATAATGGATGGCCTATCCGGCAGAAGTTTGCCGGCTTCAATTACAAGTCAACTAGCCGTTGGTTGGACTCTGGCCATAAAAGGGTTCTCCGAATTCCGCTGAAAAGCTCAGTGATTGAGTGACTCGGTACCAGAATGGCCAAGGGAGATAAACCTGCGGAGACAGCCAAATTTGGTGGCAGTGAGAAGTGTTTGCTGGATTTGCTGAGGGTCCACTTTAGGAGCTATTGCGAAAAGTCAACGATTCACTGCGTTCGCTACTTCTATGATCCACAGTTGCATAATTTGGAAAGGTTGGTTGGGATTTTAAGACTACAATATAACAAATATTTTGTATTTTAATCATTATTTTCAGGGTCATCTGGTGCGTGCTGCTCATCATCAGCATAGGCCTGTCCTGCTTCTTTTACCTTCTGCTCTCCGAGCGTTTTGTGTCCCAGAAACTGCAGACAGTTGTCCATGATCCACAATATCCAGTTTTCCTGGTTCAATTTCCGGCCGTTGGAGTTTGCACGGATAATCGCATCAATTGGAGCAAATTGGAGGCGGCCAAGGAGCAGTTTCTGCCTACCAATTCCAGCGTTGAACTTGTGGAGAGCTTCACTGTTCTAGTTTCCCGGCTAGAAACTCTTCGCTTTGGTAGCTATCTGGCCAATTTGGCTCAACTGGAGGACGATAACCTAGAGGCCGTGGGTTTTGTAAACCTGACCGAATTGGCCATTTTCTTGACCCTTAAGTGCGAGGACATCATAGTCACACACTCCTGTCTGTGGCGCAGTTCCTCCTTCAACTGTTGCGAGTATTTTGTCTTGGAGAAGACAGAGTTCGGATTTTGTTTGGTTTTCAATTCGGAGATTTCGCCACGGTCCAAGGCGATTCGCCAGAAGGAGGGTCATCACTTCTATCCCAGGCATAATGCCAAGGCGGGTCAGAGTACGGGCTTGAATTTCGATTTACTCCTCAGCGAGAGTTTCAAGCGACCCGATTCCCAGGCTAACGATAATGTTTATGTAAGTTCTAGTCTAAGAAATTCTTAAGATATGGTAATGCAGATTTATGTTACCCCAAAGATAATGATAAAAAAGCCGGATCAACTGAGCAATGTAGTGTATTCCATGACCCAAAACACCGAGACCTATGTGACTGTCCGTCCGGATCTCACATGGACGGATGAGACCACTCGCAGTATTCCGCCGGAGCGTAGGAACTGCCTTTTCGCGGACGAGCAGCATGAGTTGGATTCCCAGGATTCGGCCAAGAAGTTTGGCAAGCCCTTTCAGCTCACCAACTGCTTGAACAGATGTCATGAATCATACTTAATCCAGCTCTGCAACTGCTCCCTGCCCATTTTCTTCTTACAAAACAGGAGAAGTAAGGCTTAAGTTTGCTTAAAAGTTATAGATTTATCTTTTAAACTTATTTATTTTATAAAGAAGAATACATATTTTGTTATTTTCTTTCAGTTAAAGAATGCGATGCAGCCAGCCTGCGCTGCCTGGCTCGTCACAATGGTGAGAGTGATTTGAAAAGATTAATTCTGGAAATTATAGCCCTTCGTTGCAGACATTTTTAGCTACGATAAGCGAAGGGACGAGGATGCCCTTTTCAGTGCCACCAAGCCGGGGATGACCTGTTCCTGTTTGGTGAACTGCTACCTGCTCGATTACTATACGGCCACCACCACGCTGCCGTTGTCAGCCCATAAACTGTATGATAAATGGAAACCTTTCTTTGATTTCCTGAAATATCTAGAACCATATTTTCCAGCCCCAAGGATCCACAGCAGAAGCTATTCAAGGTGGATGTGCACTATCAAGTGGAAACTACACCTTTGTATCGCACAAGCTTGGAGTTCACCATTATAGATTTAATAGGTGAGATCTATCGGATGATATAGTACGTATCTATAAAGTATATTCGCAGCCAATCTGGGTGGAATCTTTGGTCTCTGTTTGGGTGCTTCTATGGTCAGTGCCTTCGAATTGGTCTACTATCTGACTGTGGGACTTGCCATGCATCTCTATGACCACAAATACTACAGGGTCTTGGGTAAGCAACTGCGCATCAAGTGGCGAAAGTTCAAAGGTTACCTGAAAAACGAAGTCGGTCAACTGGCAGAGGTTCCTGTGGAAGGTAAACTAAGACATCCCTTTAATAACAGGAAAAATGTTTGGTAAAATGTTGTTCCGATTGATATTGTATTTATTGAATGTTTAATGTTTATACTTTATTGGTGTTATTTTTCTCTGTCCAAATGGTATAGTAAGTATGCGACTTTCCCGCTTTTTCGCTTTTCTCTTGTTGAGTATGTACAAATACAGGCCTATGGAGAAGTAGTAGGCCAGTTCAAAGGCACTCAGTAAAGAGGCGCCCAGAAAGAGTCCGATTATGCCACCAAAGCTAGCTGAAGAGTTAGAACTGAAAGTTAGTAATTATATTAAAAAGTTTAGAGGTATCTAACCAACCCAGTAGTTCCACAAAGGTATATCTCATGTTGGTCTGGTATTGGATAAACCAACCGGACTGGTAGAAAATATCAATGCGCATTGTTCCCGACTCTGTATCGGTTTCATTGTTACTAAAAGATATATTTAGTATTACGAGATGGGTTGGGTTATTTATTATAATGCCTTACTCCAGAGTTGTTGTGGTAAAAACCCGCTCAAAAATGAGTTGAGTGCAGCTGGTTAAGCAGTCGCAGATCATGCTTTCCTTAAACACGTTTTTCACATATTCCTTTTCCTCCGGATGGCGTTCAATGCTGAAGGTAACTTTAATTAAGAAAATAAATCAAACAAAATATTAGGCATAAATGCTTTAAAAACTCACGTCTGTTGTCATAAAGACACTTAAAGTCCGATGCTTTGCAAAGTGTAAAGTTATCTGTTAAATAAGAAAATAATAATGTTAACTCGTATATATAATTATTTAATTTAATGTATAAAGTCTATATCAACCCTTATCTGAGACAGGAAAGAATATGGAGGGAGAGCAGTTGCACCGCTCGAGGACATGCTCCTGATGGCACCTGCTGCGGCAGTTTCCCTGCCAATATTCAAATCCCTGCAGGTTTTTGTACTGCGGATTGTCGGTTTCATCCGCAAAGATGCATTTCCTTACGCCCGGAGCCATGGATCTAGTTCGTTCATCCGTGACCGTGAATCGGGGCACCATGCTGACTCTGGTGTGGGATTCATGAGGCACATGACGAACCACATCGCTCCACTGCTGCGGCTGCTTGATCATTACATTTATTCCCCGTTTTCCGGGACGGATCAGGGATCTGTTCAGCCGTATAAAAAGGTCCAGGCCAGAACCTTCGCCATACTGCGGAGTGCGAAGGGGATAGTATTTGTCCTCCTTCTGATTTTGTATGAAATATAAATCTTAGGTTTAAGAATGTAATTCACAGATATAGCTTTACTCACTGCTCTCTTCCTTGATGCTGCACTGATCTCCGCGTTGAAGACAAAGCACAAGCCCGACTCCGTGAACTGGTACTCCAAGATGTCGCAGCAGTTGACCGGATTGCTCCGCCATCGGCAGATGTGAAAGAGGTCCTGGCAGGTGAACTGGATGTACTTGTAGACGTCGCGAAGGTTTAGATGATCCAGCATGTGGAGATCACTAGTTAGAGTTTGATTGCTGAAGAAGCTGGACATCTCATTCATCCGGGCCAAGTGTGGATCTCCTGCAGCAGTGAAGAACTTGATGAAGAGTTCCCTTTGGGATGCAGACACATTTGCACCCAGGAAATGCTCAACTGCCCCGTTCTCCAGAAGCCTCCAATTCAGGCGGTTTCTTGGACAGAGGCCAATGGATGGAAACGGCACACGGAAAATCGGATGCATGGTGTTCTTGATGGTAGTCTGGATACGCACTGTTTGGTACAAGTCATTCAGGTCCACATAAACCACGATGGCACCAATGCTAGTGATCACCATAATCAGGAGCCAGATAAGCCTGATTTGCAGAAAGAGGATTTATAAATAATATAATATAATATAAATTAAAAAAATTTAAAAAGAGTCTTAGAAAACGTCTAAGCTTACCTCTCAAATTTCCTCATCCTGGGCTCGGCCAAATACCGTATGCCATGTACGGAGGATTCGGCTGCATATTCCTTGAGATAGGGAAGAAAATACTGGCATATTTTCCCCAAACGGGAGTTATCCTTGGGGATCTGCTGCGCCTGGATGAGTCCTGGTTTCCCTCCATAATCCTTATAGAGTGGCCTTCGGGGCTGCGGAAGTTCCATTGGGTAGAACATGGCTCTAGTTGGGAGCAAAATGAAAAGTTGGATGCGGCTCGTTCGACTGGTTCGAAGATATTGGTCATTCAAATTTAAGTTAAGCGCGGAGGAAAGCCTCCGCAGCATTGAACTCAATCAAAAAGCAATTATACGAAATGGTCAAGAGGGTGGCTTTGGATCTGGACTGGTCCTCCGCCCGCTACTCCCAGCCAAACTTAAATCACGCACACAATTAACACTTGAAGGGGGCACTTGCGGGTGGAAGGACTAAAAGTGGCCAAGGACGCGCAACTTGTTTACTCAACTCGACCCGGGTTGGCAGGGGCATGGTGCAAGTCACTGTCCATTGGCAGCGTAATCCTCCAGTCGAGCCATCGACTGTTTGTTCGTTCATTAAACGGAGCACCTACAGTCGAAGAAAAGTGTTGTAACTAAAACTATTTGAATTGGAAACTATTTAAAACCTTTTATTTAAGCATAAAAATAAAGAGAGACATGAACCAAATATAAATACTAAATATAAGTAGCTTATCGGTTGGTCTAGGTACTTATATTTTTTAGAACTTCTTAGTCTTAAGACCTATATTTTCTCCCACTGTAAGAGGCAACGACTGGTAGTCGGAGGAGTCTGTGTTACTTTTTATTGAGTGCTGGTCAAATGGAAAAGTTGGGGAAGATGTCGGACATTTTTGTCAAGCTTTCAGTCGTTTGTCTGTCGTCCCGAATTGTTTTGTGTAAACAAGTGAAAATATTTTCGATTTATCATTGCGTGCATTCCCAGACCTTGTCAGCTGTCCTCTTCGATTGCCGGGATCTCGGTGGCTTGGCTGCGTGATTTATTTGGCCAACAAACTATGCCCCAAGTTTCTGATTTCATTTTCTGGAGTCTTGTGCTTAGCGCCAGGGATTAAAGTCGACTTTGCGGCAAAGCGGATGTTTCCGGCATCTTGCATTGCTTTCGATCTGCCCCAGTGATGCTGGTAGCCAATTATGAAAATCATTATAGTTTTCGGAGAAAAGATATTGAATGTTCTCTTTATAATTGATGATTACACTTATCTATTGGACTGTCTACATATTAACCCGTCAAAATCTCCTCCTTATACCAGCCCTAAGGTAGCTTGGCCAGTAGGCATTGGTATCCCCTGAAGGCCCACACATCCGTGGGACTCTCCTCCGAGTTGTCATCGTAACACCTCTGGGCGATTTGCAGGGCCTCCTCCTCGGGCACGTACAAATTCTTTAGCTTAGCTATACGTTCGCCAATGTAGCCCTGCTGCTCGCTGAAGATGCCCGACTTCGTGACCATACAGGTTACATATTTACGCACATCTGGGTTGTCGAGAAATATATATTTTTTTATCTGGGCGAACGATTCTGCGCTCAGCGGATTCTCCTTCAGACACTCGATTTGGATTTCCTCGTTCACCACGCCACGATTGGGCTTCCAGTAAACGGAATGATCCTAGAAATTTAAAATCGATGTTAGCAATTGGGAAAAGACTTGGGCAAAGACTAGTAGATAGGGTAAATTCTTCAGAATTTTAGTATAACTTCATAGGCCATTTAGGACGACAAAAGACCTAAGCTAAGAGTACTAAATAAAGGTAAAATCCTTACAATTTTATTTTATAACTTAATATGTCGTGTACGACAACAAAAAGTTTTTTAATTTTAAGGATCGTTTCTTGCTCATATTCAATTTATAACATAAACCTTAAAACCTTTTTCACAATTTCCACATATACGACAAAAACCACTGCAAACAGGGTCACAGCTACATTCAGACACTCGAGTATACTGGAATACGAGTACATAGTTGGATGATCGCGGCAAAGTAAAGTTTCGAACTGAATCTCCGACGGCTGGGTGCCCGGCTTTATAGCAACGCCCAGCTAATCGCAGATTACTAGATTTTTATGTGTTCTTTCAAAGTTGGAAGCAGTTCCACTCGCACTTATTAATAAAAATCCCTCTTGCTGATTATCATATTATATTATACTCTGATTGATATTTCCTGATTTTACTCTAATTTTGTTGCGATTATTACAGAGAAGGGGAAACTTATTCACAGCTCATCTTATAGTGGTCGAAAGCACTTTTCGGTTGAGTTATAACTTGACACTTTCTTACTTTGCCAGGCGCTTAAATGCAACTTTAATTGGGAATTAAAATAACATCATTTTCTCTTGCAAAAATATCAAGAAATTAAATTTTTGAATGCCAATCGATTGGAAATTTTTTAACTGGGTAAACGATTCATAATGTTGAAGAATTTTTAACTTTATTATATCTAAAAAGAATGAACGACTTGCGGTTAAATCAAGCCAATAACTTTTGATGGAAAATCGCAAACTGTCCGGAAAAAGGACAAAATGGTAGCTCTGCTATGGTCCTGATTACCACCCCCATAGAATCCAACACACACACACGTGGAAGGCCGATAATCCTGGCATTATGGACAACCCGAATGGTCGCCAATTAGCGTGGTGTCAATCAGGCAACGCGTCTCTCTGCTGAGAATCTGAATGTCAATTGATTTGTGCGCTCGCCCTCAATTTTTCGGCTATGCCCAGGGGTTTCAGGTGGTTTGCCAAACCGCTCGCGGGAAATGACAATTTCAAAATTTTCAACATTGATGGATGGCCATTAATTCAGGTATATCACTGCCAAAACTGCTAAATGAGACTGCAGCTAGGATTGATTTTATGGGGGCAAACACAAATTAGAGTCATACACGGTTTAAATTTCTATTCATCTGATTTTTGCTAGTCTTTGAAAAGCTTTATTTAGTCATTTTTATATCAGCTTATTTGGAGAAAAGGGCTGATGTACTTTCGCTCTCCATTTTCCAGACAGCCACTTACCATCGCCCAAAGCTAAACTGTCGAAATCTGAACCTTTACCCCATGACTTTGAACTCTCAAAGGTAAGCCGAAACTTCTTCAATTCGCCTGATTAAAGCGCCCATGGGCTGCGAACTAAATCCAACATCGCTCTTCATTATGCACAGTGGGAAACAGTGGCAAACCCAAATCTTCTGATGAGTAGTTGTAAATAAAATTCCGAAACACACATTCCACATGACACACACTAAATCGACTTCTAGCAGACGTTAATGACTTCCGCCTTTGCCAGAAACTTTCAGCCACACTTTCACTTTAACTCGCTGTCGCTGCGCGTGTGCAACAATTTCGTATCCTCGTCATCTTCATCATCATCGTCATCATGTCCTGGTGGCGGGGTTCAAGTTCATGTGGCCTATTAAGCACAGACACCCGGGATGGCAGAAAGTTAAGGCAATTCCAAATCAGAGCCTGAGTGAGAGGGGGGCAAAGGACTTTCGTGGGCCACCCCGTTCAAAATTCAATCTCACTTTTATGAGCCAACAGAAACGTGACGAGGCACCGACTGTCACCGTCGCCGTGGAGTGACAGGATCAAGGAGCAGGACCATAACCAGAACCAGAACCAGGGGCAAGACCAAGAGCAGGGTGGCATAGCTCTGAATGTTGCCAACTGCCAGTTAGACTGTCAAGTGTCTGGCAAAATGCCATTTAAATATGCAAATTCGTTTCAAAAGCGAACTTTAACTCGTTCGCTGCCACGCTAATTTGCATGTTTCGCGCGGCGCGGCTTTGTCTTTTGTTTTTGGTGATGCTCCGAAATGCTCCAAACTGGCCCGTAATTGCGTTTATCTTTTGATGGCTAAATCCTGGAAGACGCAAGTCTGGGCCCCATCACTTCCGGTCGCTAAGCTGCCATAAACAAGCCCAGTAACGCGTGTTAATTATTTAATAATATTAAAGGGATTACAAGCCATGAGCCCCAACCGCCATTTGCCATTTTGCCTGATTGATGGGCCAACATTTGCTTCTCCTCCTTCTGCTGCAAAGATTTGACATCGATGGGACTGTCAAACGGCCAAGGCTGTTGACTTGTTTGGCCAACGGAAAAGGTGTTTTGTTTATATCCAACCCATCCACGCCAGGATAAAAGGCAACGGGCGGGCAAGGACTCGCTCTGAGTGCAGCGCTTGTCGCTCGCAAGTAATTTGAATAATTTTCTGAAGAAGTGCAAAATTTGCATATGAAATCTGCAATCTCGCATGCTGAAAAGCGGGTGGCAGGAGTTTTTCCACACACTTGCAGCGCCAGCTGCATTGACTCAGACGCATTCAGGCAGCAGGAAGTTCGTTCTGCTCCTGATTCTGGTCCTTCGGCTGTGCAGGGAAAGAAAATTTGGGTCCATATTGAATACTCAATAATAATATAAATAGGTTTTGCCGAATGATTTCTGCACTCTTAAGTTCGCCACAATGATGAACTCTTATATATTAAGTATTTGCCATGCATTTTACCTACACTTTTCTCTAAGTGTCCTTCGGATTTGAGGGCAGGCGGAGGCGAGAAGATGCTTTTAACTTGTCTATGCAAATGCAAATGTTTGTACGCAATCGAGGAATAAACAAATGTGCTCTGCGAGAATGTGTGGATGTGCGTCTGCCCTTGTCGAGTTGCTGGCTTCGATGCTGGAAAAAAGTTGCTGCGAGAAGCCCGATGTGAGTTATGGGCGGAAGAAAATTAAGAAAACTTCTTATAATTGATGTCATGCATTTTTAATCTCATTCCAAGCGGCCTGCCATTTGCATTTTCCTATTTTCCTATTTTCATTTCGTTTCGTTTCGGTTCGCAGCACAAAATTTATCAACATATATTAGAATACTTGCCGAGGGAGAAGGGTAAGGGGAAAGGAGGTACACGAATGTACAGGATAACACTTAAGCTCTCAATTAAAACACTTTGCCGGGTGCTCGACTCGCCTTAGTTGGGCAGTTGCCAAATGTAAACACTCGCATTATGGCTTTCTTCACAATTTTAATTACTTCTCGCAGACAGAATTCCTTAATTTGGCGCTCTTCACACATCCTGAAACGTGGGCGAAATAATAAAAACGCTCTTTACACATGCAAAATGCAATAAATGAGAGCAGCAGAATGCACTGGCCCAGGCATCAAGTACCAAAGGCCGGGCTACCAGGCTGTCGGGCTCCCAGGACAGCCCCGGAGATCCTTGTGTCCCCCTTAGAAATTCACCTGTGCCAGGGGAGCTCGCACAATTTAAGCACGGAGTATTTAATTTGAAAGTTTGCTTAACAACTTTTTAAATACCTAATGTGCAAAACGGATAGACAAGTATTTCATGTGCCACATTTTTGCCGAAAAATGTTCACTTGCCAAAATGTGGAAGGGGAGCGCTGGCAAGGATATGGCAAATGTTTGGACAGACGTGGGGAAGGTTAATCTTAAATTATTAAGTTTCAAGGCGAATTCTTACTTACCTTAGCTTTAGAGGTTGAATATTTAAAGAGATTTACAAATAAGGCAAAGAGGAAATATATAATCAACCATCCAGGTAATAACTTTCATGAATTTACGTGAAAGGATATCTTATTTTACGATTTAAATTATTAATACTCTTCCAGATTTGAATGATAAAGACTATAGATATTATTTCTTGAACCGCTCCTGCCTGAAATTGTTCTACAGGTCGGAAGAAGGCAGCCGTATAACAGTCTGGCGTCTGCGCGAAGGGGCCAAGAATTTTGGCGCCAAGCGAACAGCTGGGAAAACGCCGGGCTGTGGACCCCTTTCCGAAGGACGAAATGCTACTGCCGAACGAGCGGCCCGCAAAAGTGTGCTACACCATACGAGAAATTCTGGCAGTTGCAACAAATTTTTATGTGTGTGTGTGTGTGTGGGTCGGCTGCTGCTGCTGCCGCCTCCCAGCAAACCGTCAATGGTAGATTCTTGCAGGCAGAGCTGCCATCATCGTCCTCGTGTGTTATCCTGCCAGCTCGTCACTCCACTCAGGCCGAAGCAAAGTCCTCGGCCGAGCGTCCTCGTCACTCCCGTGCTGTGAGCCTTCGTGGCAGGTCCTGGCCGCGTGCTTTCCTCCGATTTCGGCCGTCTTCAGTCGCTTTCAGTGGCGTCCTGGTCGCGTTGCTCTTTGGTCCGAGTTGGTCCAAAAAGTTGCCCAAAACCGAATTTTTGTGAATGAAATTCGCGGCGAACTCAGCGAGTGAATGAATGAACACGGCGTTGTGGAATAAGCGCGGAGTGATTGAATCAAAAAGTGCAATCAAAGTGAAGTTACTTAAATTAATGAATTTTTAAATGGTACAAAATAGTTTAAATATTTTTTCGAGTGTTTTTGCATCTTTCTAAACAAAGTTCATATTACTTATTTGGTATTAATAAAGGATTGAAAAGTTTTCAACTTTAAATGATTTTAAATGATTTTTGTTTACTTTTTAAATCTGTAACTTTAATAAACACTTAAACGATGAAAATTATGATTTATGCTATAAATTTTTTAGAAATCTGAGCGAGTGTGAAATTATTACAACACCTTCCAAAATGCTTAAAGACTTTTCAATTTCAATATTAATCTGTTTTCAATATTTCTGGAAATTAAACTTTCGATTACCTTCGCTTTTATAGCCAAGTTCCAGTTAAAGTAATTATTAAAATATTAAACTAAAATAAAGTCATTTTTATACATAAACCCTGCATTTTTTATACTTTTCCCAATTAGTCAAAAGTCAAATATAAAGTGCTTAAATGAAATTATTGAATATTGGTTTTCAGAGCTTGACAAGAGATTAACGAAAATTAAAAAGAAAATTGAAACACTTCTCAAAGAAAGATACTTAAGAGCTAATGGCTGACCGGAATCTGCCAAATCGAATCGGCTGCAGTAAACGGGTTAACGCAATGCGGTCCTTCATGCCAGGCTCGGCTGGTGCGGGTTGTATATCCTTGGTCCCGTCTGCGACCATCCTGGCTTCGTTAAGTGATTAATCATGCTCGTATATTTTCCAAGTGAAATTCAATTTGGACCGCAACGTCAGTGCAAGAACCACAACAGCCGTCCAGGCGACAGCAAAATATAAGAAATAAAAAATCAAGCTCCGGAAAATCCGAAGGACATACCCGAGGGGAGAACGGACAACGGCAACGATAGAAAGGAGGCAGGAGGAACTGCATCCGCTGGTGAGTGGAGATTGGGCCCTGATCGTCGCCGTAAATAGTTGGCAACAGTGTTGCAGCTCTAAGCCCAGAGGAGTTGAAATCCCATTTCGGTTCGGAATCCAATAAACTTGGCCGAAATAAAAGCTGGTCTGGGCGAAATTTCGTCAATTTCCCTTTATTTATTTGGCTCTTTATTTGTGCTGGGCAAATTAGTTGCGCTGCTGTCCTTTTCGGCCAGCACAAACAAGCCGCAAAAAACATACACCCACACTAGATACACACGGCCCATACAAGGATGTGAAAACAGGACCTTTTTCTCAGCGGGAAATAATTTGGGCCCCGAGAGAAATTCTTTTTTAGTTTGGTAATTTAAATATAAAGCAGGGGGGGAAGTCAGGGCCAAGCATTTAGGTTAATCATACGCCATGTCGTCCCGGGGCAGAGCCTCAAGCAGTCCGCCTGCTTTGCATAAATTAGTAAGTTTTTACTTGCCTCTTGCTTTGGCTGGAAAGCAAGGGAAAATAATCAGGATATAAGAGCCATCCGCCTGCTAGTTGTCCTCGCTGCTCCTGCCATATAAATCAATTTTAATTTAATCGCTTTATCGCTCTAATAAATCATGCCGCTTATGAGGCCGCGGATGCAAATGCGGATGTGGCTGCGGATGGTAATGCCGCCATAGCCCGATTGTTGTTAACAATAAAGCGGAGAACTGCTAACAAAACAAAATTTAAATATCAAGTTGAGGCGGCGCCAAAGTCGCCGGATGATGATGATGATGATGATGACGGCGATGATGGTGACAACGGGAAACAAAGGAAAAAACTTTCTTCATTAAAATTTTTAATGACTTTCCCTCTATTTGCGCAAGGTAATGAAAGTCAACAGCGTCACTATGTTGCCGTGTACATAAATATTTCACAGAATCGCCTTTTTTCCTGCCGTTTTAGCCAATGCAAATTCTATTCCGCAAGTCTTTTGTTTTTCTTTTAGGTATTTTTTGCAGCGCCATAGTTGGAGTTTGTTTTGATTGCCCTTTTGCAAATGGGGGGGCGGTGGGTGTTTTTTTTAGCCCGGCATTTAATTACATTACGCTCGATTAAGGCGTAACACAACCATAACATATGTATCGGCAATACCACATCACAAAAAGCTGACATAAAAGCAAATTCCATCGAACTAAAAACAGACATCCTGGTTAATTAAGCGGCTCATTCTTGTGCAAATTCCACAGGCCTTTGTTTTCCTATTGATTTTATAATTAAGACGAATTCCAGGCAATTAAATCAATTTGCCCCTCCCATGACCTAGGCCAACACGACCTGCCTAATACCATCCGCAGTTCTTAGCCATAGCACCTCGAGGTCCTGTCTTCGCACTAATAGATTAGCAATTAAATGCCACACACCATTAACGGGTAATAATACGCCGAGCACGAAGGATTCTCTCTGCCAATCTGTGAGCTGTGTGTGTGTGCTGTTGTTTATGACACGCCCCCTTCCGAGTACCGCCTCTTTGGTATATATACATTACGCATAATGACACACCCATACACACACGTGCGCTTTTAGCCATGTTGAAGTTGATAGCTCGCTAAACTATTTATTTGCATATAAATATTTCAACGACTAGAAGAAGAGAGCAGGTCTGAGCACACACAGGTCGTATGTGCACAGCTGCGGTCACAATAATAGCAGCCTGCAGCGAAATGCTGATAAATTGCATTCTGCAAGACAAATGGTTCGTGGTTTTACAGATCAATGTGTATTTATTCGGCAAATGTTTGCCCATTTTGAGGTCGTTAAGAAATTAAATAAACTTATCTTTATTTGAGATGAAATCACAGGGGAATGTTTATGTGCCAGCTTAAGAAGCCAATTTATTTAAGGAATTTATTATATCTTAAATGAAATCTATAAATCCATAAAAGAAGAGAAGTTATCTGGAATTCCTAGTTCTAATATTCCTGCCACCACAGTGGAAACCGCGTGCATGTAACGGCCCTTGTGCGTTGGCATAGGGAAATGGAACAGCGCCCTTTCTCCCATTTTCCCCAAGAAACCTCGCACAGGTACTTGTACCTCCTCCTTCTGCCTGTCGACTTTTCTCCTCTTTGTAATTGAAATAGTTTGTGAATTGGATGTTTATGGAGCGTGTGTGTTGTAGGCTAAAAATGCTTTCGATAACACAAAGGGAAATCCATTTGCCAAAGCGGAATTGCTCACCCATCCTCACATGCACTTAGGACTTAGCACCAAACCTGAGCCTGATATCCTTGCGAGCCTAGAGACGAACTTCTCCAGCTGCAACTTAATTGAATTCCCTCTAAAGCAATTAAGATGTAGTGAAAATAGAGTTAAGCCCCCAAGTTTGGTAAAGTATTTTGCAGAGCATCAGCTTGGTCAGCCAAAAAGTCAAAATCTAACTTAATTTTCATTTAAACAGTTTAAAATGTAATAAGGATTTCTTTTGCACTTCTTTACTTTTAAATATTTAAATTATAAAAACCTCCGCTTTTCCTGAATTGGTTTTTAAAACAAAACTTTGGAATTGAATACTTGATCAGCTCTAAGTAAATTTTTATGACTCATATTTATCATAAGTTCTTGCCTGCTGGAACTTTTCTTTTCATACCCAATGGGACTTAAGCTCTCGAAGTTTCACTGTAGTCATAAGAAATACTGAAGGTGTTTATGGATATTTTGGTGCGTCAAATGCAAAAAGCATTGCGATTTATTGGTGGCGCATTCCTTGATTGTTTCGCTTTTGCCTCACCGCCACCACACATGCAAACAATGGCACAGGACAAAGGACGAAGGACAACATTGTGTGCACAACACAGCACAAACACAGACAAATCCGCTTTCACTGATGTTTGCTTAGTGTTGGCGAAACCAAAAATCCCCGATAAACGTCGACGGAATGTCAGGTGGAATAATTTGGCCTTTGCCAGGAGTGTGAGGAATGGCTCTTATATCTACACTTTACACACATACACATACAGATACATATATATATATCTACATATTTTACTTCACTGACATTGACAGCAGTCAAAATTTTGGGGCTACGCATCGGCGGATCCTTCGCCATATTTAAGTACTCACATCATGTGCATTACATTTTATGGCTGTGTGGGTAATAAACCAGCAAGTGCAATTACCACAACAGCAACAACGCTAGCGGCAAGCGGCAATTTGCAACATTGTTATCCAAGGGGTAGCGGAAAATGAGGGCGGGGCACTTAAATAGTTTTACACATTAGCGCCACTCCAAAGTTGACTGGCCACCAAAATTGTGGCAGCCCAACCCAGGAATCTGGAAACTCTTTTCGAGGCTTTTATGGGTTTCTAAAGGATTTTCGAAATTGGATTGACTTTGTTAATGAAAAGTTTATGCTTTTTCAGTACATCTCAAAAGTTTAAACCATATTACTGTATCAAATTTTCAAAGATGGGAATATTAACCTGTCACTAAGTATCTATATCTATTAAAATACATCCTTAACAAAAATGAATGCCATGAAGAGCTTTTTAGAAGTGCGAACAGCGATTAGGCGTGGCTTTAAAGACCCTTTCCACCGAATGTCTGCCCTGTTAAGGATCCCCTTACATGGCTCACATATGAATGCTGTTAGCAACGCCCCTGAAAGTATGCAATGCCAAACATTCGAAAACTTTTGCACTGCCCGCAGCACATTAATCTTGAGCTTGTTTGGATATTTCACTTGCACACATACACACTCACACTCAGACACTCATTGGTGACCCCGCCCAATGCGTGAGTATTCGGATTCGCAAAGGTCATCGTATTTTTTGCCTGATTTTGTTGGCTTGGCGACTTGGCCGCCCGTCTCAATGGCGGCGCACTTGTAACACTAATGAAAATTCCAAATTCCAAATTCCAATGAGCTGTCAGCCGCCACACAGAGCGACGTCAGCGTCCTTGGCACACTGCCAGTAAATTGGGTCCGAGTGGTCATAATTTCGGATGCACCCCGCCCCCAAATCGGCCATCCATTCAGACCCGCCTCAAAATCCTTCTGACGTCCCCTTCTTCTCCAGCAGAGAAAATGTAACAGAATGCAACGAACTTGAAATTCCACACAAAATCTACAAAATGCTACTGACGCTTGTTTGTTCAATCAGTGCAGTGAGAGAAAAAGTGTAGTTTAAAGGTTTATTAACATAAATATTTTGCATAGAATTTATATTTCTCTCTGAAGTGATTAGATATTCTGGTTACTTTTTCGAATAAAAGTGACATAAAACCAGCTAGTACTTTAGATTTCACCTTCTCTTCCTTCCAGTGTAATTTCCCTCTTGTTCGAGTGTGTGCTTAAAGTATTGTCTTGGCTTGCACTGCCTGCAAGAGTGTGTGCGAGTGTAGCTATGTGTGTGTATCGATGTGACTCTGTATGTCTGTGTGGGGGCGTGAGTAAGCCTGTGATGGCACTTTACGAATTGCTTTGGCGTATGTGGGCTAAAGGGTCGTTTTGTTAATAACTTATGACAGGCTACCAGTTGTGGCTCGAAACTCACCTGGCCAAAAGTGTGTGTGTGTGTGTTAGCCGTTGTTGTGGTCGCCGGTGCTCTTGCCTGCTCTGCTCTTTGTGTTTGCCACTGGCCAACGGGGGATGATTAATGTAGCAGCTGGACGGCTTGGGCACTTGGCCAAAAAGGATTGAGGCCTGGGAAATTGATGGCGAGGCGACTTCAAGGTAAGCCAGGAAAAATCCGACATTTTTCCAAACAGATACAAGCGAATGTGATCCGGCAAATAATCGTATATCAGAGTGTGCTAATGAAGAACGAAGGCTAGTGTTTTCTTTGAAGCCAAAGGCAAAGCCAAAGCTAAAGACAAAGCCAAGTTCAATGGAATTTGATGCTTTCTCAGCCATCAAATGGGCTTCCATTATTTTGCCGCCTCATTGGCAAGGACTCCCTAGAGGAGTCGACTGTTCATTTTCATTCCTTACAGGCTCCGAGAAGATCTCGAAGTCCCCTCATTTACTTAACTAATTCCCAACACGTGCTGTCACTTAGAATTGTCCGTTCGTTCGCTCCAATTTTCGGGGGCCCGAAAACTTTTGGTTTTCCACGAAGCACGAAACTCTGCAATTTTCAGGCGCGTCAGTTCAATTGGTCTAATTGACTTTTTTCTTTTTGGCCTCTCTCGCAAAACTTTTCAACGCCCACCCAACACGAAGAATTAACAGGCAATAATCGATGGAGTGGCCTGTTTCTTGCCAAATACAATCCACCAATCCGCCAATCCACCCACGTTCTATTCCCTTTCTTTCCTTCGTCCTGGAAATTATGCCACAAATTTGAAATGCCACATGGATGAAGGCGCCCGGTGGACGCCTGTTGGGTGGTACGCCGCTGGTTCGGTGGATTCTGCCCGAGGGTGGGACGCTCGGCGACAACGAAATTAAACGAAAATCGTAATAAATTGCAAAAAATTTACGAAAATTGGCTCTGCTAGGGACGAAACACTTTTCAACAGCCAGCAAACGGGCAATGGAAACTTTCTGAATTGAAAAATTGAAAATAATGAATGGCACGCACACTCACACAGTCCCAAGCACACAGATTCGGCACGCACACACACAAAGAAGTTGAGGCAGGGTGGCAAAAACACTGTCAAAAATCATGGGTCTAATCTATTTCTTAATCAAATTTGAGTTTGATGTTCAAAATGAATATTATTTTTTATATTAGGAGAAAGGGAATTTAGAAATTATTAAGAAAATTTTAATACGAAAAATTGCAAAGCTTTTCTCGCTGTGCAAATACAGATTCTGGCCGCCGCTAAGCGCAAAACGCTCAAAATTACAGCAACAAATAAAATTTGCAGTAAACTGCGTGCTTGACACGCCTTCGCCCTGCCATGTCCCCGTCCCTTACCCTTACCATCCGCATCCCGCCCATTAGGCGCCCTGGGCCATGCGACAGATTTGAATGACAATTCGCCGGTGGCAGCCGCAGGATAATGGGATGAGTTTCTGTCCCCCAGCTGGGCGGCTTTCCACCGGATGAATGCGGATGCGTGTTCTCCTGGTGGCATTATAAGGTGGAAAACCGGAAGAGGGGATGGGCTGGTCCACGTGGGCGCGAGCCGCGCTCAGGTATTTAAATTCATTTTCATTCCACGCCAAGGATAGACATCTCGCATTTGCCCTCTTTACGCGAAAAAGGGGGCCAAGTGCCGCAGGAGGAAGGGGCTTATGAAAACGATGTTCTCCTGCAAATTATTACACCAAAATTAAAATAATATTTCTCATGATTGCAAATAGCTCAGCCAAGCAGATTTTCGTGCCAGCCCGGGTTTTGTTTTCCCCGGCTGTAGCACCATAAATATATATACTTATTTATATTTCTAATTTTCACCTTTTTGTTTGGTTTTCCTCCAGCCTTTTTGTGCAGCGTTTGCTCAGTTGGCTTTTAATACCCGCACTTTTTGTTGGCCTGCTTCGTTTCTTACTTTTTTTTTTTTATTATTTTCTCCTTAATAAACTGGCTGAGTTGGCAGAAAAAGAGATGGCTAAGGAATATTGCCGGTGACTATGAGCAATTTTCATTTTATTTCGCCACCGAACGAAATGAGAAATGCTGAAAAGTATGGTGGGTGGGTTTTCGGGGGTCAGGTTGCTCCAGCTCCTGCTCCGGGTTCGGTGCTTCCCTTAACTAATTATCTCGAAATGAGTTTTTCGCTGCCACCTTGGCGATTCGAAGCGCAGTCTTAAGTTGTCTGCCGTAGTTTGGAAAATGTCAGGCGTCATGTAGTGTGTGCCATATCCTTGCCATCCCCGACATCCTCAACTTCCTCAACTTCCGTGCCGCGCAGATTGGCATTTAATGTTAATTTCGCGACTTAATTAGCCATAAAATCTGTGTCCCGCCCCAGAAGCGGCAGAAGGGGAAACTTAATCAGTTGCAGGAAAACGTGTGCGTTGCATGACTGCCATGACTGGATCTTAACCCACTTTGCAGCCCTATTCCAGCATGCTAATGTGCAGTTGATTAGAATGTCACTCCAAACTTGCCCACATGCACTGCTCGGCCAAGATGCCCTGATTAAACTCAAAACTGGCACAAACACGATAAGCCTCTGGCCAAGAGATTTCCAGCAAAACTGGCCAAGGCCTCCGGCTGTCTGGCAAAATAGTAAAATATAGTAAAATCCCACCGAGTGCATTATGTGCCGACAGGACTTGCGTGCTCGCTGGCCACAGTGCCAGCATGACATTTATTGTGTAAATCATGTTCCTACAAGAGCACTGGGGGAAAATGCTTATTTTTAATATTGAATTTAAGGAGAGATATTAATATTTACGAAGCAGGTGTACGTAGTTGAGAAACTTAGAATTTATGGAAGAAATTGAAGTGCTGTCTTTAAATTTTTCAGACTTGTGGAATGGATTTTGTTCCAATAACTTTTAAATTTTCTTCAGTGGTTGCTCATTTCTGGAGGAAATTTAGAATCAATCCCATTATTTAAATCTTGACTTAAGTTAAGGAGAATTTGACATATTTTCATGTGAGGCTTCCAAAACTAAACATTGCGATGAAATTTTCCAAGAAATAAACTTTTTCATAAATTTCTTATCATAAACAATCATTTTACTTACAGAACTCAGTTTTTCTCAGTAGCCAGTAGTCCTAACACACAGAATTGATATACAAACGCACACGCCCCCACAGATGCGGATGGGAAATTATTCGTAGGAAATTGTTTTTTCCCGACAGCCAGCAAATCAAAATTGATACGAGCCTATAATAAAACTATAAGTGGCCGTTTTGCGTGGCCATTAGGAACAGTCGATAAGTGAGGAAGTGGAGAGGGATAATATTGGAGGCAGAATGAAAGGAAAGTAATGTAGTCGCAGTCATTGTCTTTCTATATTCATCCGCCCGAGGCAACTCCTTGTGTCCTTTGTCCTTGTCGCTTTCGCTGTCGTCCTTATCTGCCTTCCTGCAGTCAATATTTCAGCTCGTCTTTGACAGGACCGCTGATGAATTCGCTTTCACTCATTTTGGAGGAGCTCTCCCACACTCCCTAACGACGTGACTTTTGGCATCTTGTTATTATATCGAAATTATCCGGGCTGCAACTGAAATTGTTTCACAGTCACACGTGCCGAGGCCTTTTGGGAGTTTTCCGAGGGGTGGTGGGGAGCAGTGGGGCCAATTTGGACATTTTCTGGCCAATCATTGAGCCAGAACTAGAATTAAATTATTTTTTGGTGCTTTTAAGGTAATTACTTGACATGAAATTATGTAATTTGGAGAGATGAAAGGAAAGTAAATATAGTTTGCTTTGTAAATATCTTTGTTATGAAAGATAATTGTAAATATTTTTCAGATTTAAAGAAGAACTAAACTTGTTAAGTTGTACTGAAAGGTTAGGTTTAAGTTTATTTTAACGTAATTCATATTTATTTAAAGAGATTTCCCCTTTCTATAAACTTCCTTGAAGTCTCAGTCTGCGCTGTTTTTCTCTTTTAATTAGAATTTAGCTGTTTTTCCCAAGCTGAAGCCAGCAACACTGCTGAGAACTCCACTGTGGATTGGGTTTCATTATTGGAACCGGAATTGGGGATGCGGACGGCGTGTGTAGACGATTTGTAATTTGCTCATGCTTGCTGGTGGATCCGCTGACGGAGTTCTTTATGTTATTATCATATTAGGCAGCATTCAGCAGCACATACAAAACATATCTCATGCGGTCATGTGACTGGAATTCATTCCCGGCGCGAATCGCCCCCGAAAATTATGCAAAACCCATTAAGTTTTGGCAATCGGCAGGCCGCCACCCGCCACCCTTGTCAGATTCCCGGATTCCCATTTGCCCTGTGATGTGATACATTTTTAATTTATTGCCACATGGCTTTTAGGAGACCGATGCCTCATTCGGCATGTGAAGAGCTGCGTCAAAGGGAAACTTTGGGCGCCGCTAATAAAACTCATGCCAACTCATCAAAAACTAACTTTAAATATGTCCTTTGGGTCCTCAATGAAATGAGTGCGTGCGTGCGTCCTGAGACGATGAAATGAAAGTGAACCTATATCCTGGGAGTCACTGGAGCAGAAGTTGAGAGGGTTGCCAGTCGGAGTTGGAGTTCGTTAGTTTAGTGCCTCCTCCCATTACGGTTTTCCGGGGAAAAAATAGCAAGCCAAACAGAATACGAGAGCAGCGGAAAACTGACTGACTGAAAGCCGTAAACATTTCATCTGCCGACTGCAACAAATTAATCATAATCCGTATGCGATGAACTCGAAAACACAGGTCGCTAGGGTGGTGATGGGTGGGCGGTATTGATTTCGAATTATGCAAATATTTGGTCAAATGATTCGCTCATGTGTGCCCAGCTCGACAGCTCACGAGATTTGGATTAGTTGGCGTTTTTCTCGGATGACGTCAGGCGCTTCCTAGCTGAGTTTTCCGCATTTCGGTTTACATTCCGCGGCTGACACGGTTGTCAGGACATTCCGTGTGCTCGCCGCATGTCCGCCTGGTAACTTGATTTGTCAGGACAAGGACAACGACGGAAACCGCACGGGGAAAACTTTCAGGGAAATTGGTCATCAAGGGGGCTTGTTTCGCAAATCAAAATAACTGCCATTGGTGGCATTTCAGCATGACATTTGCCACAGCAGAGGGGACACTTTTTAGCTTTTCAATTTAATTTTAGATTACTTTACGTAGGAATTTTATCTACTTTAGCAAAAACTAATAAATAACTGACACTTTCCAGATAAGAGATTCTTCCAGTGTCCTGACCCACTTCCAATTTGTGACAATATTTAATTATTAATCACGACACACCGGGGAGCAAAGGGGCAATGGCAAGATGCCGACATCTCTGGACGGGGGACCACATGTCGCATGAGCAATATGCCACTTAAAGTAATGCCCGATGCTCGATTGGCTCACTGACAGCAGGCAGACGTTCATATCGGTGCCTACAGCTGAGTATCCGAGCATCCTGAATGCCCTGAATGTTGCCGTTGTCATTCACCTTGTTGTTTGGCGAAGAGTTCGCTGTAGTTGTCGTTGTCGTTGTCGTTGTCGTTGTCGCTGTCCCTGTCCTTGCTGGTGGCTGGTTGTCGTCCTGTCCAATCATTATTCATTGCGTGACAAGCGCGTTAAATGTCTCTCTGGCTGGGAGCATGTGTGAGTGCGCCAGAGTCGGCAATAACTTTTAACATGCCAAAGGTATTTCCGCAACAATATCAGCAGAAAAAGAGGAGGAGAGCTCACACACTCGAAGAATCCTTAGGCCTAAGTAATAAAATACATTTTGTCGGCTAAGCATTCAGAGAAAGTCAGATGTCGTTGCTACTGCTTTAAATTAAGTATACGACAAGTGGTTCGGCTTACAGTATGAAGACAAAAGCTGCTAAGTAAACTTATTTTTTTATAGCTGGTTTAATCATTATCATAGACACTCCTGATAAATCTTTAAATTTACATTTCAGATCAGGATTGACCACAATTTGTTATCATTTTAAGCCACTTACAATTTTTCAAGTGCATAATGAAAAGGATAATTTTCGTGTATCCCTGCTGTCGCTTCCGTTCGGGGTGCCAATCCTGAGAGCCAGAACTCGGCCCGTCGATTCCGTCTCACGAGCTGTCTGTGCGAGCCACAAATTAATGCCAGCCATTATCACGGAATCCTCTTTCGTGCCCACCACTCCGCTGTCCTTATTTGTCCTTGATTGCCTTGAATAGCGAACGAAAAAAGTGTATATATATACGGTATATCCGAAAAACAAAGGACTGGATCCCCAGCCCGGTGTTCCGGTGTTCCGTTTGATTTCTGTTTGCCTTGGCTAGATTCCTTGCGTGCCATGACACTCTGCCACCGGTGTAAATATTTGTGACATAATTAAGCAGCTCGGCAGCGCGGCAGTTGGGATCTGGGATCTGGGAACAGGGATATAGAAGGCATTATCAAATCGGTCGGGGGCACACAAGTTGCAAAGCCGAAAATAAAGCAAACATCGGCGCTTTCAATGGCAGAGCGTTTTCGCCACGCGCGTGATTAAATTTCATTTGTGGACCCAACCAAAACGGTACCCAACTGACTGACTGACTGAGTCCTTAGTCCTTAGTCCTTAACTCGCCGTATTTACCGTCGTTTTAGTGCCTCGCCTCGCTCGGGTTAGTCGAAAAAGCGGCGCTTTCCCCCGACTTTCCCTTAAGAGTGCGTGTGTTTGACTTGGATTCGCATTAAGATTGTCAAAGATTTGGCCGCCAGTGGGGAGCCACTCGAACGGTTCACTTTGTTTCGCTTGGTTTACCTGGAAAAGAAAGGAAAAACCCGAAAACGCCAAAAACGCTCGGGGAGCAATTTGGAAGATTTTAGGCGGCGATTTATCGCTCCGCTCCTGAGAGGGTGCCACCGATACTTAGGACCCAGAGATAGCAGTCTATTCCTCTGCTATTCCTCCGGTTAATTTGAATACGAAGGCTGCCAAAAAAATGAAAATGAAAAGGTTGTTCAATGTCACCGGGGCTTTGCTTGTCTATCCGCCATGCGATTCCAATTCAGCGATAGTGCACGGAATTAATGGATGTACGGATAGGGATAGGGATAGGGATCCCAATCCCAATGTTAGTCCCAAGCCCACCTACTTGCATATGTCACTGCTCGACTGCCTCCTCGTATCGACATGAACAACAATGGCAGCGGCACTAATAAATTCTGGCATTAGGCCTCTTTCCCAAAGGGGGCGTGGCACTCAAAGTCGGGCATATTACTTGACATCAGGGGAGTACTTCATGGGTCGTAAAAAATGTGCTGCCTACTTAACGGGGCAGTATAGGAACCCTCCGGAATGATAGGCAAAAACTGTTCAATATGACCTAGTTTACGTTGGATTCTATCAATATAGTTATTTATTTGATATCTTATATGGAAATTTACTAAAGACATTTACACCTTAAAGGCAAAATAGAATTAAGTGTAGGCGCCAAATAAATTCTTATAAAATACTAGAAAAAATTCGATTTGCCAAAGTTCGAGGCCACGAAGTTGGTGGTCTCCAGGCCAGCTTTCTCATTTCCCTAAGCTTTTTGGGTGGAAGTTGGCAGGCAATTTCAATAAACACACCGACTCGTCTCGGAACTTTTAATAATTCAAAAGGCAACAATGCGACATGGAAAATCGCTTCATATAATTACGGATCGCATAAAAATTCAACAAATGGCCGGCGGCTGGCGCTTTATTGAATGTCTGCCGCACGGGAATGGCCCATTCGGTTTTCTTGACTTCAATTTAAATTCAAAGACTGTTATTGCAGCTGTCGCAGAAACAGATACATGCCAGGCATTTGGCCATGAGAATGGTTTCCGAATCGGAAATGTTGTATTGTGATTTGGCGTGATTCGATGCTGCAGTGGGTCTGTGTTCCGAATCAATTGCAATTGTGTAGACGAAAAGCCATTGCAGGGAATTAATTTTGGGGCCATCGAGAAGGGACCCCAGGGTCCTCGAAATTGAAATACTCTGCAGAGCAGAGGTTATGAAATTCATGTTCAAATTAACAACTAACTGAATTTTCGCTTGCATGCTGGGCACGATTTTTCAGACCGCTTTTCCTGGAAATCTCCGGCGTGGCCAACTCTCCGCCAATGTGGGTATACCCGCATACAAATGCGGGCCTGGCATTTGGTTAACTTTCATGAGGCCATTCAATGACTTAACCATTTCCATTCCGCTGCCTTTTCCAGCCACGCACGCACACATCGGCCAGCTAACTGAAAAGGGTCAAAAGGTTTTCACACATATACAAATTGCTGGCCTGGTCGAAAGCATTTTGCATAGAGGCCAGACTTGGCTTTCGGCCAGCTTTTACTTTCGCCATCAACCTTAAAGGTTGCCTCAATTAAATTTCTCGGCCCAGACACAAAAAGTAAAGAGAAAACCCCAGAAAGCTGCAGGGCACCGCCTACTTGTTCATATGAATTTTCTTCTACACAGAGAAAAAATGTATGTAAATACTATTTAAATGATAAGGTAGTGAAGAAATACATAGTGAGATTTATAAAGAAGAGAAAAAATGCGATTTTTCTAGAATTTGTTCTCCCCGTGTACACATATTTTCCGTGTTTCTCATTTGGTTGCCCTGTTTTTATGCCGACTCCCTGGCCCCGTGCTCACATTTTGACTTGCTGCACATCAACAGCCTCATCAGCCTGGCGAGTAAGTGAAAAAAATGTTTGCTTTTTTAGCCAGGCGAGTGAGAAATGTGCCAGGAAATTGTGCTAAACAGCTAAACAAAAAACGGAGGAAAGTCGCTGCCTCTGCTGTTTCTGCCGTCGGTCGTGCAATGTGGCCAAGGAAAACATAAACCATAAACGTGTCAGGCAGGGATCAAGTTCTGTTTCTGTTCCTGCCCTGGACCTGGACCCAGTTTACCAGGGGGCAGGAGTGCGAGATAAGCCAACAGCAGCAGGCAGCTGAATTTATGGCATACGCGACCCGGAAATGAGCAACCAGGATGTTGTGGTAGGAGGCAGGAGGTACGATTCCTTCTCCGCTCGATTGGCTGTAGACCACATCCAGTGTTGCGCCCCGCCTGATGATGACAGGTGATAATCGAGAACGACAGCTCAAACGTAACTAAGTTACAAATGATAAAGAACGCCTGAAAGGAACACAAAATTATATAAATTAAGCCCCTTTTTAAAGACCCAAATTAAGACTGTGAAGGCAAGGCAATGTGCCAGCTAATTTACACATAATTGTGCTCCGTCACCAGGTAAAGGATGTTTTGAGGACTCTTAGCCTAATCTAATTGGACATTAAAAAGACAACTCACGTTGCATTATTTTACATAATCTTGTTAAGGAGACCATCTGTGAAGGGTTTCTCATAATGTAAGGGTAAATTGATGATGTTCCAAAATCAAACCATGATTATTCTCGAACTAGTTTGGTTAACAAGTTAAAGTGCAACCCTTTTTACGATTTCCCTGATTGGGTCACATTCAGAAAGAACATATCAGCTACCTAATTCCCAATCCACTGACCAAGCTTGTTCACCTTCAATCCTCATCTCTTCGATTAAACACATCCGAAATTCGTTCTGGTTAAACGGGAGCTCTTGAGTGGGGAGAAAGAGAGTGCCAATGACAGATGTGCAAAGCTCCAAGGACTTTAATGCAACCAGGATTTTAGATTTCGCAGTGTGGGTGGCAGTGCAATCCAAGCTGGAGACACAGTCGCCGGCTGTTTACATTAAGTGCGGAGCTTAGCAATCAACTCGCGCCGACAGGAGCCAGGACTCTTGAATAATGCGCTGCACAGTTGTTGACTTCCTCTGTCAAATTCCGTTGACAAAGGCAGCATCCACTTAGTCATCCCCCGGCCGGAGTTCAAGTTCCTAGTGGTCGCACGCTCGACTTCCTGCCAACAGCCCTGGCACTCGAAATGTAATTTAATTTGTTTATTTGTGTGGCACTCGCCTCCCAGGGACCTGCTGCTCCTCCTCCTCTGTTAGTACTCCTCCAGTCCTCCATCTGGCGTGTCTGCTTGCCAATTAATTGCGCACCTTTTGGGGCCGCAAGCAGCAGGTGAGTTCTTTCCGATCTCAGCCCAGGCAGCAGCCCAAAAAATCCTCTAATTAATGTGTTTGTTTAGCTTTTGTGCGCGGGAAATTTGCTTAACTCGGTTACCTGTGGATGCTGGCTGTTCGATGCTGGATGCGAAAGTCAACATTTTAATTGAATGAAATTTATAGCCCGACCTGCGAGCGATTCAATTACAATAGCTTCATTAGACTGGCAAAAAGTTTTGGCCAAAGGAAACGGAGCTCTTCTCGCTTAATCTAAACTTGATTAAGTATTAAAATCAAAAGTTGTTCTTCAGACTAAATATTTTGTTAGGGCAAAGTTAGGTTTTCCCAATTCAGTCCTAATTTTCATGTTTAAATGTTATTGCCTCAACTTATTTTAGGTGTAATATTTTACCTAATAAAAATAGTAAAAGAAATACCACAATTTGCATCTCTGTAAAACGTGTTACACCCCCTAACTTTATCTTAAGTTTGTCCTGATTGCATTGTGTTCATCAGCCTCTCGTTCTCTTTTGTCGACAGCTTGGCAGCCCGGCGGCGAGTCCTGGCCAAGGACATGAAAATGCGCTTCATTAATTTGGCTGGCAGCCGCGGACTGTCTGAGGGAAATCAGCAGCACAAGCAGCACCAGAAGCAACAGCAACACCAGCACCAGCAGGAGGAACAGGAGCAGGAACTGCCGGGGAAATTGGAACAGGAACAGGAACTGGAACTGGGACTCGCGTCAGCTGCAACGACACAGCACTGAGTTGCAATGGTGGAGGACAATGGGTCGCCGGAAGTGGAAGGAGCGGAAGGAGCCGTTGCCCCGCTTTTGGCGCTCCTCCGGGTAGAAGGCCTCAATCAGACGCAGACCCGCTCTCCTTCGCCGCCGCTCTTCGGTAGCTACAACATCTCCGAGGACGTCTACTTCTACTTCAATGGGTTGCCAACGAGCACAGAGCTCGTCCTGAATGCCACCACCTTGAGTCCTACGGTGGGGACAAGTGGTGGCACCACCACGCCGGAACCCGATCTCTCAGAGTTCCTGGAGGCCCTGCCCAACGACAGAGTGGGTCTGTTGGCCTTTCTCTTCCTGTTCTCCTTTGCCACGGTTTTTGGCAACTCCCTGGTCATATTGGCCGTCATCCGGGAGCGGTACTTACACACGGCCACCAACTACTTCATCACCAGCTTGGCTGTGGCCGACTGCTTGGTAGGGCTTGTGGTCATGCCCTTCTCGGCTCTCTACGAGGTACTGGAGAACACCTGGTTCTTCGGCACGGACTGGTGCGATATCTGGAGATCTCTGGATGTGCTTTTCAGCACTGCTTCTATACTGAATCTCTGCGTGATCTCGCTGGATCGGTACTGGGCCATAACGGATCCCTTTAGCTATCCCATGCGGATGACGGTCAAAAGGGCCGCCGGACTGATAGCCGCCGTGTGGATCTGCTCGAGTGCCATCAGTTTTCCGGCCATCGTTTGGTGGCGAGCAGCGAGGGATGGCGAAATGCCGGCCTACAAGTGCACCTTCACCGAGCATTTGGGCTACTTGGTCTTCTCGTCGACGATATCCTTCTACCTGCCGCTACTGGTGATGGTGTTCACCTACTGTCGGATCTACAGGGCAGCTGTGATCCAGACGAGGTCCCTGAAGATAGGAACCAAACAGGTCCTCATGGCTTCCGGGGAACTGCAACTCACTTTGCGTATTCATCGTGGTGGCACCACCCGCGATCAGGCAAATCAGGTTTCAGGTGGTGGAGGTGGTGGAGGAGGTGGTGGCGGTGGTGGTGGAGGAGGATCCCTGAGCCACTCGCATTCCCATTCCCACCACCATCACCACAATCACGGAGGTGGCACGACGACCTCTACGCCAGAGGAACCCGACGATGAGCCACTATCTGCTCTGCACAATAATGGCCTGGCTCGCCATCGACACATGGGCAAGAACTTCTCGCTGTCCAGGAAACTGGCCAAGTTCGCCAAGGAAAAGAAGGCGGCCAAGACGCTGGGCATCGTGATGGGCGTGTTCATCATCTGCTGGCTGCCCTTCTTCGTGGTCAACCTGCTGTCCGGGTTTTGCATCGAGTGCATCGAGCACGAGGAGATCGTGTCGGCAATCGTCACCTGGCTCGGCTGGATCAACTCCTGCATGAATCCTGTGATCTACGCCTGCTGGAGCAGGGACTTCCGCAGGTGAGAATGGTGGTTTTTGATACTTTGAAGCTAAGTTTCCGATGTCAAAGAACGCAGCTTAAATGATTTCATTTTGATTGGGTTTTTTCATATCTGAACTTTAAGTTGGGGTTTCTCTATTTTCTTTGAGTTTGTAGTTTCTAAACTTTTCATATTTTCCAATATAAATATTATTAAATTTAAGAAAAAAGTCCCAAGTTAGTATATCTCCTGTTCACCTCAAGTTAAGGTTTCTATAGACTATATTTTCTCATCTCTGACGATGATATTTATTTTCCGTTTACTTTCCGAGGAGCACCCTCAAAAGCACTAGAAGTTCACGTTTTGTGTGCTATTTTTGTTTGGGCTGCGTTTTTGTGGCTTTCGAATGCCGAGCTTAACCCTTTACAACCCTCATTCTTAACTGGCTTCTCTTCCAGGGCCTTTGTGCGTCTGCTGTGCATGTGCTGTCCTCGCAAGATTCGCCGCAAATACCAGCCCACGATGCGTTCCAAGTCGCAGGTGAGTCTCCCCATACCAACAGAAGCCATCATCATCCGCCAGGCGATTCGATTTGATTCTCTTTCTCGTTTTTACGGTCTGCGGGTCTGCGGGTCTCCGCAGTTTTCCGCATTTTCCTCTCGGCTGAGTTGTTGTTGCATCCACTCCTTTTTTAGCGGGCCAACAAAAACTGGTTGATGGAAATCGCTTCCATGAATTACGCGCTGCCGGCCGTCTCCACTTTTGTGTGCTCCAAAAACGAAACTCAACGAACGGCAAAATTAATTTACAAATTTAATGAATATGTAAAAAAAAAGAGAACTGACATTTACCCCCCAACCTCCGACCTCCGATTCCGCCCACGACTTCCGTTCACACATGGCAGACAGCCATGAAAACTTCCTGACATCCGCTGCGGATTCATTTTCACCCACTGACATCCTCGCATTCACGAATCCCTGCATAAATCATCTGGGGGGCGCATCACTCAACCTGTCGACCCTCGACCCTCGCCCCTCTGCGTGATTTTAATGAATAATTTTCTAATGTTTGGCAACTCTGGCTGCACCTGAGTGGGTTCGCCAAGGGTTGGAAGTGGCAGAATGGGAGCACTGCACCCAGTGTTCGCCGGCGAAGAGATCCATTGTCTTTCCCCCAGGGACTTACTGTCAATAGGGTAACTAAGTAATTACCACGAAGTCACGTGTCTGCTGTCTTTGGAATTACAGTCGAACTTGTCTCAACTTTGGTTTAAATAAAAATGTTAAATAGGTGAAAGGAAAATAAGATATTAAATGGAAACATGTCACATTTTATGTGCAAGAAATAATTGAAAAGAGTGTCTGTTTAGGTTATAAAAGATGCTTTTAATTTTGTCATGAAGATAACCAGGCGTATGAGTAATATCTCTTAAAGCATATCAAAACCTTTTCAAGCTGCTTTTAAGTTATCTATAACTTGCATATGAACATTTTTTATAACTTAAATATACCTCGCTTTATTATCTTTATAATTAATTCAGAACAAGTTCGACTGTAAGGCACTTACTTACCTTCCTTTCCAACCTATCAAAAACACTTAAAGTATCAGTTTTTGGTAATGGAGGCCTGTCCCAAAATAGCTCATGTCATCACAGCATTAAAGTCATTAAGACATCCCCCTGAGGCCCCCGTCATTCAACCATCCTATATATAGTATACTATAGTATCGTATAGTATAGCCTTGTCTGGCAAAATCGAGCTGATTGTGATTCTGGCGGCGTTCTTGATTTTGCAGAGATTCGCGACGCGGCGCTGCTACTCGACCTGCTCGCTGCACGGCATTCAGCACGTGCGACACAACTCCTGCGAGCAGACTTACATATAGTTTAGCGTAGATTTAGTTGACAATGATTAAGGCGCCAACCTGCCCCGCCCTTATTGCGCCCTCCATTTGTCCGTAAGTCAATGGCAAGGTAAGCGACTTGTGACTGTGTCTCTGTGTCCTCCGTCTTTCTCCCTGTTCTCTGTATCGTGTCTGTGTGTCTTGATGTCCTTTCAAAGGCACCCACATAAAGAACTGGGGACATAAGCACTGGCATCCCGTCTCCGTTCTTCTCGGTTTCTGCATCTCTTTCTGTCGCTGTTTGCTGTTGCCGTCTCTGTCTGTGACTGCGCTGTCTCACTCACTCCTGTTTGTTTGACTGGGCCATGGCATTGTTAATTGTGTTCTTATTATTGTTTCTTTCCGGTGTGTTCCTGAAATCTCTGAAGATTTTCAAATGTTACTTTAAGCGCTGAGAAGTATGCTATGAAAAATAGTTTAAACCGTATACATAATTTTCATGAAATTGATTTTCGAACTAGAAGCACCTTTTGAAAATCACCACAGATTTCCGGAACATCCTAGTATGTATGTTTTCTTGTTTTGCTTACTTTGATGCAAAAACACTGCGAAAACAGACTCTGATTCAAGCACCTGTTGAATGTGTTGCACCTGAACACTCACACACACACACACTGGCACACTCAAGAGCACACACACACTGAGACACAAACAAAGATGTCCACCCACGCAAAAAAAAGAAGAAACTCCCTGGGCACCAACACCTGAGCCCGTCTACGTTTGATGATGTTGTTTTTTGTATGCTGTTGCAGACAAGCTGAATAAAAATGAAAAGAGCACAAACAAGGAAAAAAGAAAATCGAAAGTTTCCACAAAGTCTCCGGGCACACACTCACACACACACACACCCTTGCACACTTGCAGGACACAATGTCCTTTCATCGTTTTTGTCACCGTTTCCGTTGCTGTTTTTGCTCTCCATGTTCTTGCTCCTGTTGATGTTGATGTTGTTACTGTGGCTGTCGCCTCTCACAAAAGATTTTCCAAGTGTACACAATGGCAAAACAAGGAAAAACCGAAACACAAGCCCCGCTCTCTCATAAAATGTTTGTTGATCTTTTTATACCCGCTTCTGGCATAGAAAAATGGTATATATGATTCAGGAAAAGCAGATGAAAAGACCTAAATATAGACTGGATCGGCTTTAATAGATACGGACACTGGAGTGTCAAAGCTAGGAAGCCATTGCTAAAGTTGTTAAAGGAGAGGAAAATGCTGGTAGTTAGGGGAACAACTCAAGGCAATTAAAGCAATTTAGGAAACAATATAAAATATATACTTCTGTTGGTTTCACTGTTGTTTTTATTATACTTTTTCTTTCATGACTCTTAAGTCTAATCATTTACCATTATACTCCTCTCTTTTAGTAGGTATCTTTAAGTCCACACACCAATAATAACATTCCTTATTCACTTTTAGTTTTGTGTAAAATATGTACAAAGTTTAAGTCGGATTTTCTTGGTTTTTTATGGCCGAGAAGGAAGGGTTCTACATTTTCAGTTCCTTGTTTATTATTTTTGAATTTATACTTGCCGGCCTTTGCCCTTCTTTTTATGCCAACTGAGTCAGGTTTTTCGGGAGTGCCTAGTGCTCCTCCACACCAAATAAAAAGTTCCCCACAAAGGAGTCACGCACATCCGATGCTTGAGAAATGTTATCAAGTGAACCATAAACATTTTTTGCACTTAAAAATTTCCAACTCAATTTTCGCCTCGCCGATAAGCGTACGCAGCCCGCACATTCGCACATACCACATGTAATTGTATTGATGAAAATGTTATTTACAGCAATCAACAGTCAATATGTGTCTGGCCTTGGTGGTAGTACAGGCATCTGTGTGGGCTGGTGTACGGGTGTGCGGATGCGGATGTGAATGTGCTCTCGTGCCTTTTCCGTATCCGCTCCTTTAGGATTTTGGGGTTTTTCTTTTGCGATGTGTCTGTCATCATATCAATTACACCCAAGAGCATGCCAATTTATTTGCCAAGTGTTTCCACAGCCAATTGAAAGCGGCATTCGCAGAGCGCGGATGTGAAGTTTTGAGCACGACTGGGTCCACACTCGGTGCCTTCAAACTGGAAGTGCCTTAATTCAGGTTCAATACTTGCTCAATTCTTTAATAAAACATTACAGAATTTAAAGCTTAAAGGCTTTCGCACAACAACAAGGTAAACGGATTGTCAAAGGATAAAGTTTGTGCACTTTATTAGTTTGGTTGTCAGTTGCAAAGTGTTCTGCCAGAAAACTTTATGGCCAATATAAATCAACAAGAAAGCACTTAATGTAATAGAAACTTATTTCAAAAATCTTTAAATTAACAAAGAGAGGGTTAAAATAACATTATGGCTCACAGGGGAGCTGTGAAATATGGTCAGAACGGAAACTGACCCAGAATAAGAAACAGAAAGTTAAATGCAGTTCATATTACGTATACGACACGTTGGGCTTGACTCGAACTTTTCAAAACTAAAAATTCAGATTTACCTTACTTAATAGGAATAGTTATCATAGTAACAAGCCTTTAACCCTTTGAAACCGAAACAAAAAAACACTATTTGTCCTTTACAAATCGCTCTGCTAACTGTTTGCGATTTTTCTAATTTATTGCAAATCCTTCGCTCAGGAAGGACCCTGCCCTTTGGCCGACAAATGAGGCGACTTCCGGCTGCCGCAATTTGCCTGCTCTACGGCAAATGGAAATGGGCTTCGGCCAAATGAGGATATTGCAGACGTGTGGTTAGGTCCCTGCCCGAAACGACTCGATTTCCGCCCTCAAAAGTCTGCCGCACTGTTGGCCATCTTTTTGCCACCTCAGCTTCGACCTCAACCTCAAGCACATTGCGGTCAGCCGCAAGTTGCAGCTGTCTGTGTGCCAGTGGGACGTCCCTTTTCGACACTTTAAAATTAACTTCACAGGAGTTTCATTCAACTTTAATGCCATCCTCGCACTCTCGCATGCACACTCAGCACACGCTGATTAATCGCCCACTGTCGTCTGAGGGCCGCTTGACATTTAGGCCCACTGTGTCCGCCCGCCCACTCGGTGTCCTAATGAGCCGTAAAGGATTCCCACCCGCCCATAAACACACTCACCCACAGCACACACACAGAAATACGCATTCTGCCTGCCAGGGCCAATTTGCATACCATTTTGACTGGCATCTTTAGTATGCGTGCACATGGGGAAAAATCGGGGAAAAAGGTCATCGATTGAATGCCTTATGTATCGAAAATCATTCTATTTATGGCATCCCATTGTGACATTTTAAAATGTCATAAACTCAAATCTATACAGTTTAAGTCCTTACGTTTCTACAGGTTTTTGTCATTCAATCATCTCCTTTTAGTTGGTTTTTACTGCCTTTTTACTGGAAATATATTTGAAAAAATACTTCTTTATTTCTTTCTTTATATATTTATTCTGACATATCTGAAGAATACTTTTAGAGTTTCACTATTGTCACAAGCAGTGTCTTTTTAAGATCTAAATAAAGTAATGATAAACTTAATCTTTATCTCTAAGAAGCTACTCTCACTTTCCCCCTGTGCACCTGAACGCAACAAGATGTTTTGATTGAAAATGCCAGCTAGTCAGACCAAACCCACTCGCACACAAGTCCTGCAGCCACACACATATTCGCACACACACACTCTCAGCTGAGGCTGTTTAGCATAAATTTGTAAGCTTGTAAACCAGGAATTTGTGATTCTGACTGTTTGCAGAGGAAACCAATGGCCAGCCTGAGGCCAACAGGCGCATCGTCGGAACTGCTTCGATTCGGTGCCTTCGAGTAGCCTTCTAGCTGGGGAAAACTGCAAGGAAAATAGCACGTACTTTAATCAATCCTTAATAATTATATTTTGCTCCTTGTGGCTGCTAATGCTGCTTTTGCTGCTGCTGTTTCTGCTGCTGCTGCTGCTGCTATAATCGCTGCTAATTGCATCAATTATTGGGCGAGCCTTTGTGCCATTTATGAGAACAAAAGCTAAATTGAATCCGAAATCGAAAACGAAATTGCTTAACCGATTAATCAAACTGATTTCATTCCACTGAAACGAACTGAGGCGAGCTAAATGGAACAATAAGCGGGGAAATGGTCTTGCAGGACCCGAATATATACATCCCTAATATATAGGGTCGATAATGGCTCATTTCTCGGGCAGGACGAACATCAAAATGTAATTTACCACAAATGTTGCGCAAACATCAATTATCCCTAATTGACTGTGAACGTGAAATTAACGTTTATAATTATGTGACAGAGCCGTTGGAGCGGAAGTCCAAGTTCCAGTCCGTGGGAATTCGTGTCCGCAGCCATGTAACTTTTAATGTCCTTGCCCAGGATTCCAGGGTGGTGGGGTTAGGGATCTGGCAATCGGGCATTTTGTGACTGTCAGCCTGCAAGGTCGCCTGTTAAGCTGGCAAGATAGGGTGCCCCAGAAGCTTAGCCTTTGGCCAAACTTTGAGGTCGGCCTAAGTCGGGGTCCCAGGATCCAGGACCCCGGAGAGGTTTATTGAGTGCCAGGCAATAAATTACCTAAAGGGGCGTGGCACTGACAAGTTCGTGCGCGAATAAGCCCACTTGAAATTTGGAACTTCACGGTGCCATTGACCTTTTGCCGGAAGCTCACGAAAGGTTCTTTTTTTCGGTGACAAGCCCCAGGGCAGACTAATGAGTCACTAAAATGTTATAATAAAAATACTTAAAGTAATAAAGCCCTAGATTAGACGGTTTTATGTCTGGGTCGTTAAAAGAAAATGCTAGAAAATAGAATTACTGTCAAGTTTTGGGAAGAAGTTAAGGCTAAACAACGTTGGGCAGAAGATATATGTTTTTAATTAGACATTTAAAATATATATAGTTGGGATTCGATAAACGCCTGAAGGAAAATGATTAGAATCATGAGAAGTAGTTCATGGGTAATCACACTTCAGCCTTTATAGGCTTAATCTCCGATTTAAGTATTGACATAAAAATGAAAATGCCTAGAACCAAACTAGCCGAGGTGATTATCTGGCCAGCTCTCCACGTTCCCATCCCTGCTGTTGTATATTTTCGGGATCGCCGGGGGGCTATAAAAATTGCAAATTACCCAGCTTGTCCGGGGGCGTCTGCTAAGCGGGCCATCCGGTCTGGCTCTTCAATTATTTAAGCTAATTGCGGCCGCACTCGAAGGGCAGTCGACCACTCGGCGTATACGCAATGCAAATTGTACGCAAATCGGAGAGAGGGATTTTAGAATTTTATACGACCTGAAGGAGAAGGCGCCTGTAAGCCCGTAATTGAATTGGCCAACCAAAGATGATGGGTTTTCTTTCGGGCAGGCGGATGGGGGAAGGCGAAATCAGGTTGGAAGGAAGATAAACGATAAAGGGAAGAGTCATCCATATGAGTCCTTGGAATTTCCCCCAAAAACACACATACACACACACCTACGCACACTCACGAATTCGGTTAATGTTGTTGTTACTGTTATTATTCTTTGCCCCCTAAAAAAAAAGAAAAAACTGAAGGAAACTAAAAATTCTGCGAAAACCAGAAATTGGAATTTCAGCTACCGCTTTTCTTTTCCTATTTTCCCACTCTTTTGTTGTTGCTATGTCTGTTTGTTGTTGCTCTTTTCCTAGTTTTTCACCCCCACTCTCATTGTTTTGTTGTTTTCAATCATGCATTTTGCTTTGACTTTTACTGCACCCAAAAAAAATAAAAAACGAAAAGAAAAGCCTGCGAGAAATGGGGAAAATCAAGGGGAAATCTGCAAGGAAAAGTCGCAACAGTTTTCGTCTCTCTTGTTATTGTTGTTGTTGCCCCGCCCGCTCAGTTTCACCGTCCATCACCCCCTGGTGTTGTTGTTATTGTTGCTCTGGCTGTTCATTGTTGTTGTTGTCGTTTCACTTTGTTGCTTTGTTTTTGCTGCTGCGGCTGCTGCGTTGAAACGGCAATTTTGTTAACAGCCACACTCACACCCACAAGAACCAAAAGCAAAAAAAAAAATATAAAGAAAACACCAAAACTTATCCGGAAACACTGCCTGCAAATTGTATGCAAACACTCGAAACGAAATAAGACAACAAAATGTTAATTAAACGCTTTTCTCTCGCCCCTCTACTCTTTCACTCCTTTCGATCTGTTTGTCTTTACTTTCACTTTTGGATTGTCGCTTGTCTTCTATTTTCTATCCTACTTTAATATTTTCTTTCTATTATTTCTATGCATTTCTATTATTTTTTTGTTACTTTAAATTTCATTTCTTGAATGTTTCTGTCTATGACTGTTTGTATGTATAATTATTTACTTATTTTTTAACTATTTTTTATTATTTCTTCCTTCACTTTGTTATCTGTTTTTTCTCCTTTCTCTAACAGTGCCACGTGGCCGCTGCAATGGTGGCTGCCTCCACCTCCTTTGGCTACCACTCGGTGAACCAGATCGACCGGACGCTCATGTGACGACAGCTGAGCAGTTGCAGCACCTGCAGCGGTGGCAGCAACTGCGGTGGCTCGCGATCCGCCCACCACCAGCACCACTCTTCCGGAACGGCCACCCCCTCGTCCTCGCAGCGTTCCTGCACCAGATGCCAGAGCTTCCATCGCCACCATCATCGTTCCAGGCGCCGCAGCTCGGGGATGCAGTTGCGCGGCGATTACAGTTCCACCACGGCGGTCAATAGTGCCCTGGCCAAGACCATAGTCACGATCAGTGCCCCTCCGGTGGCGGCTGCCTCGGCCAGTTCCCTGCATTTGGGAGCCGGAGGACGTCCCTCGTCCGTGTCCACCTTGACGATCGCCTCCGTGCCACCCACTTTGAGTGGGGCAGGAGGATCTGTGAGTGGGGCCAATACTCCACTTGCACCCAGTCTCAAGGCTTTGACTCCTGGTCCCTCCAACTCATCGGGTCACCATGTGTCCTTCATGCCCATGACGGGCATGAAACGTTTGCGCAGCTCCAATGCCTCGCTGGGATCGCCCAATGGAATCATCAGTTCTGTTGTTGGGGTAGACACCACTTCGGCACCCTCGCTAATCGATGCCAGCGAGGATCAGGTCCAGATGAGGAACCACCACCGCATCCTGGAGCAGTGCCAGAGTGTTCAGAGTCAGATAACCACTTTGGGCGATGTCGAGGACGACGAGGAGGTCAGCGACAGCGAGAGCGAAAGCATTGGACTCGCTTTGGTGGAGACTACGCCCCAGCTGGAGAGCCAGCCGGTGGAGGCTTCCAGTTCCTCCGGCTCCTCGGTCAAGTAAACTCAGCACAAGAATCACAAAACAAAGCCCAGACATTAGCTTTAAGATTCAACCATATAGGTGTGTTTATCAGGAGAAATCGATGGGAAATAGTTGGGATTACAAGAAAACTTTGGACATTTCTAAGACTTTAAGCTTTACAAATTATTATTCTTACTAACTTACTTACTATTACTTATTAAGGTTTCATTAATTACATTGATTTCCATGACTATTTTGTATATAAAACCCAGCAGTTAACTTACTTTTAGAGGCAAAATACTGGTAAAATAAAAGGCAACCATAACCTTACCCACAGTGGCTTGGAAATGTCCATTGATTTTTGAACCTCCCCAGAAATCGACCCATCCAAAACGCGTGTACATAGCAATCTAGTCACTCATTAGCTTATCGATCGGTGATAGAACACTATGCAACAGGAAACCCTACTATATCGACCCCTACTACAAGGACTCAGTCACTGGCGGCGGTTGCATAGTGGGAATTAGTGTTACTGTTAGCTGTCATATCTTAGATCTTCCATTACGTAGATGTATTCTGTTCTGTAAATGTCTCAAACGTCTAGCAATTGAATTGAAAGCTACGTCTTCAACCTGTCCAAGTACCTGACTCTCTCGAACCCAAATACTACGCTAAACACTGTACATAGCTTGACTTAGACCTCTAACTACCTTCTATCTGGCTCAAACTAGCTTTCTGTTACTCGATACTTGTTTGTTAATAGCAATTAACTGAAATGAAATTAACTCTACGGGTGCAATATGAATTTATACCAACTTTAAGGACTCGAACAATCAGGCAAACCGGCTTCAAGACCAGCTCCCCGTCGTCGTAGAAGATTCAAGTACAAAAGCTCTTGCAAATTGTTAGCTAATTATCTGCCCATCCTTAATTACGTTCTCTGAGCTACCAGTAAAACTATAGCAATATGGAAATACATAGAGTGAATGTTAAATGTGCTTCAGACAGCCGAAAGTTGAAGTTGGGGAATTCAGCCATTGCGGCGGCTTAATGAATTAATCCTTCAAAGGGTTCGCCCATCCATTTCTACGATCCATGTACGACTACAACTGCTTATGACGGCTAAGCTCATCCGATTTCGATTTTGCAATAATTAATGTGTGCAATTAGAATTGATTTCCCCGCCCACAAGCCCAGAATCGGAAAATAAATTGAGGATAAGTTGGGGGTTTTGTTGTGCGAGGAAACTGGGAAAAACTGTTGAGTTTAGGAAAACTAATAACAATGGCGAGACGTCAAATCATACAAAAATGTTGCTCATTGTTTTCAAAACAAACAAAGCGAAATGTGAAATGGAAAATGAAAATGATGGAAAGTCGAGGCAGGGAAAACAAAGGAAAAGGCAAACAAATGGCAATTATTAATATTGAATATGGTAGCGCATAAGTGACATACATAGCTCATAGAGTCCTCGTTGTGTCTGTGTATCGGTGTGTATGCATGTCTAGCCCTAAGTGTACATGTAAATGCATTATCCTTAAGCATTATCCCTAAGCTCCGGAGCAAGATAGGCAACAGGAGCCGGAGCTCCCACACACACATCAACTCAAACTCAATTGATTGCCACGCATCTTAGGCTAAGCTGCTAACTGCAAACTGCAAACTGCAAACTTAGATTTATATATTGAGTGTACTATACTGTAACTACCATATACAACTACGCAAGGAAATTAAAAAGCGACAACTAAGAACAAGAACTCTCGGCGATGACTTTGTCTTATTTAAATTTCAGCACGGGCACTAAGGGAATCTTTGCGGATTTGCGGTCTTTCAGGGGGTTTTAAGGATGCTCTCCGAGGACTGGGGACTGGGTACTGGGTACTGGGAAATGCCATGAGTTGCCACTCTTGATGGCTGATGGCTGATGGCCAGCCAAGCAAGAAGACAAAGTGCAATGCCAGTTCAGCAAACAACTGGCAAAAAGTTTACACTTTACATTTTCGGATCGTGGCCCCCTCAACCCTTGAACCCCTTTACCCCCTTCAGGAGGGTAAGTATGTCAGTCAGTCAGTCGGTGGGAAAAAAGGGATATGGCCAAGATGGATAGACAGCTGCAAGAGTTGCAGTCAGCAAAGTGCGAAAGTGCGATGCAACGCATCTTAAACAACTCTCCGGGGGCAGCTCGCATGTGTGTCTGATTTTCCATTTTTATTTCCTTGGTTCCTTATGTCCTGCCCCCCCAAAAGGATAGCATTCCCATGCCCTCACCCTTAGCCAACACCAATCCCCGGACGAAAGTGTCCGAAGTAACAATGTGGGGACAAAACGTGCTGCGTGTATTGACTCACTAATGAGAAAATGAACTAGAAACCAGCGGAGCAAACCGGAGCAAAACTACGCAGCTCCAGCGCACTAATGACCCACAGTTGAACCCAGAGATACAAATGGAGATGGGGATTCGCAGATGGAGATACAGATACAAGGCACAAAGCGCTGTGCAACACCATAAACTGCACTGAGAAAAACTGCAAGAAATATCTTAAACGAAATGTATGTTTAAAAGGCTTTTTAAGCCAGAAGGTAAGAATGGTGTGGTTATACATGAGGAATGAGTAATAAGAACGTTATAAGTTCAGAGGTAACCATTAATAAATCATAATTTCAAAATAAATAAACTCTTTTCCCGCAGTGACAAAGATTACTTTTAGCTGGCAATCTGCGACTTCCACACCTTCGATTGCCCGCAAAACTTTGTTGTGGCAGCGCTGTAAAAATGTAGAAAGGAGGTTACAGGACATCAACGATACAGCTCCAGCTTCTGCTTCTGCTCCTGCTCCAGATGTATGTGCTGGATATATATAGCCCATCTGTAGTTGTGAATGCAGCGTGTCCTTGCCCGTAATCAGCCAAATAACGACTGCCAAAATGGTGGATAAGCGCAGGACTAATAAAAAGAGGAAACGTTGCAAGCTGCACACAATAAGCTGCGACCAGAGCTCATCCTTCAGGGAGGTCCTTGCTCTGCAGCTCCCTCTTAACCCACATTTTCCATCCACCACCCCCTCTCAGCTTATCACTGGAGTTGAAGGCAGCATCAAACCCTCGACGACATTTTATTTGCTCGCTGGTAATTTTGTTTCCGTTAGCTACTAGTGTTTCTCCCCATTCCTCGGCTATCTCGTCCTTTTTCCTTCTTTTGTTGGGTTTGGTTAATGAACCGAAATGCGTGTTTGTCTCCCACGTTTTGGGTTTTGTATTTTGTGGCATTTCGACTGGAGTTCCCTGCTCTATTCCGCTCCCCTTCTCCCTTATCCCTTGGCCAGAATGGTGGCGAAATTGTGTTGCCCCAAATATGTATTGCAATCATTGTTTTGATGACTTTGTTGCTGGGCAAAGTCAAATTCGCGTCTCCGGAGGAACGCGAAGAAAGGGGGAATTCCATTCGGTTGTTTGGATTATTGCTGGAAGCTTATGTTCCGGAATCGTATTCTATTTATGGTTGTGGCTCTTGTGTGTGTGAGTGTGTGTGTGGCTGCCACATGCACACACTCGCAATTACAAAATCGCTGTCTGGCGTTTCCGCTTCGCCGACTTATAATGCCTTTAATTACACCCGAATAAGATTGTCTAGTCTTGGGGCAGGCAACGCTAATAAAAAGACTTGGCCTAGATAAAGATCATCGAAATACAATAAATGTTATGGCTAAATTGAGAAATATATTGGTAATACAAAGGCAGATAGTAGATGAATTGTTAATCATAATTTTCTTTATGATTTGATAGTTTGAAGGTTTTGATGTCCGTACATGTCATTCATGTTTCCAATCGAAACATCGACATTAATGTAACCGAAAACCCTCATTAAACTGTGAAAAAGCAGTCAACTTCCTCTGATTATTAATGCGACCAGCCATTCCCTCATAAAAATCGATGTAAAACATGACGACAAGCGAACGTCGTAATGAAATCAAAACTCACTTACTGCCACATCGGAAAACCGCAAAGGCTAAAAAGTCACAATGTTGTGTTCAAATTTGCCAAGAGCAGTAAAAAGTTTCCCCGCCTCTGTGATTACTTTTTCTTTTTCGGTTTTTTTTTTTGCGGAGTGTGTGTTTTACCAATTTATGAATTTTTCAGGCTTGGCAAAAAGCCGCTTTAATAAAAAATATGTCGATCCGTGGGCTAACAGCGATTTATTGCATTCACAGTCTGAATTATTAATGCAAATCCTTTGGCGAGCCAGGACTGCGGGGAAGTCCTCTTGAATATGCAGGGCAAAATTAGTGCTCCGCCGTTGTCTTTATTGGCCCTTAAAAGCCGCTAATGAAATCAATATAGCCGCTCTAAACAATTCCGCTGGAGCAGAGCGCATAAAAATGCTAAATAAATTGATGAACTGCGGCAGGACGCAGTCCGGAAAAGTGGTTGGAAAAGTGGGCGAAGGAGGAACTCGATGGAGAAGGAAAACGGCTCGAGGATGACGAGATGGATGGCTGCCTGGCTGACTGCCTTTTGTCGTAAAAGGCGCCATTCCCTTCCTGTTGTAAAAAAGCGACCGGACGACCCTTTCATTGTGTTTCGATTCAGAAACCGGCGACTTTCAGGGGTTTGTGTTTTTATTTTTTGAGTGGGTTGAGAACTTTTGGAGGCTCATAGGCACTTGCACTTGCCTTGGCCAAGGTCTACGTGGGGGCGTGGCTGGCTCCAAAATTGTATAAATATAAACGACATTAAAGCACGTCTGGAAATAAAACAAACAGCAAGTCAAAACCAATGAACTGAGCAGAGGACCTCCTGCCTTTGCCACCTTCCCCCTGAAGTAACCCCTCGATAGAGGCCCACCTGATGTGGCAATTCAAGCGCAGCTTCATTGTGTTCCCTGTTCTCGGTTCGATTTTCCATATCTCTACACAATGCCCCAGCTATTTTCGTAGGATCCGCGAGGGGGCGGCCCAGTGGGTGTGGCAGGTCCTCTGCCAATTTGCCATTGTGCGTTTATATTTAACCATTTATAAATATATGTGAGCAGCAATGACAATGTCCTCGGCATAAGTCGTTGTTATTTGGGAGCCAAAAAGCGAGCAGCCCACGAAAAAATAGATTTACAGGTGGACTTCGATAGAATGAATGGAAAAATATTGATATTTTTCAACAGTAAACTTCCTTTTTATGTGATATTTTATATATCAGTAATACCCGAAGAGAAAATATTGGTAGGTGGAAAGAAAATATCACTTAAGGACTCAACACTGTTCTTAAAAAAAAACTGTAAAAAGCTCTCAACGACGTGTCAATGCCAAAGGTTCACACTTTCTGGCAGGCGTGGGAGGTCCTTTTCGGATCGGTGGGGTTATTGTTATTCCAGTTGCTGGCCTCTGAGTCCTGACGACCGTGATGGCAACACATTGTTCTAAATATCTAATGGCGCCCAAAACTGGGGAATTTGCAATTGAAGCGTGAATTTGCTTTGCCCTGCCCTGCCCTGCCCAATTCCGGATGCGTGAACAATTTCCAGAGCCAAGACAAACAGAGAGCCCCCGAAAAAATGATATCTGCTAACTCCAAGCTGTCGATAGAGATATGAAGTTTAGTTGGCAGAAGGAGCAGAAGGATATGCAGTCAAGCAGGCCAAATGACATCAGTGGATTATCGCCGCCATCGGGGGGAGCATAAACCCAGCAATTTCCTGCTCCAGCCCTCATATCCTTTTCCCTTTGTGCGGAATAAAAAATTGAATAAAACACACCGAGGACTTGCCTCGTCTCGCCTCGACTCTGACGAGGATGTGTGCATGTGTGAGTGGAGCGAAACAAAAGGATGAAATATCGCAGAAAAACACATCACAACAACAACAACAACAATACACACACAACACAACAGTAGAAGCGGCGCCCCTCTAAAGTGTCGAAGTTTGAGGGCAGCACGTAAATTCGCGTTATCCTTGGACTGACCTTGACAGACGACAGGACAGCAGACAGCCGACTGCGACTGCGACTTCAGTGCTTTAGCCTTCGCATTGCCACCAAAGGCCTCGCACATTCCTTCGCCTTTTCGGTCTGAGAGTATATGTTAAATAACTTCACGCACTCACGCAGACATACACTGAGAAAAGCTATTAAGCTTAAAAGAAAGAACTTATAGACAATGATCCAAGATATATCTTAACTTACATAGAGAATAAACTTTCTTGAAAAGCGTTTGTAGGCAAATATCAAACATAACTTTTCAAAACATCTTAATATGCTTAGAGTTTTGTACCTAAAAAAGAATAAACAATAAAAAATAAGCTATAAGTTATAAATTTAACTTAACTTAATTACTTAATTTCTTTAATTTCTCCAAGTGCAGCGGAAAAAAACGACATGAAGAGCTGGCTGCTGTTCATGAATGCAAGTACAAATTACAGGCTCATTCAGTTGGCCAAAAGGCGGAGGCTCGCGCAACGGGGAGCAGTGGGCGGTGGGCGGAAGGAGAGGGGCGTGTCCTGGCTGCGGGAAACATGAGCCGCGAGCTGCTCTTGCGGACCGTTGGGCCGTCCTGCTTCTGCTGAAATGGTAAAACGGTGAAATGGTGAAACCCCCCGCTGGTGCAGTTTGTCCTTCAGCGGCATTCACACGTACCGAGCATGTCCTGTGCCAACAACAAAAACAAGGACATCTGGGATGATGAGCCGCAAGCTTAACATCGACATTGACACTGGTAGTTGTCGCTCCTGCTCCCCCCTGCGCTACCACCACGCCCCCTCTCCCGCTGGGTCGTAAAACTCTCCGCTTCCACACTAAATTACAAGTCTTAAATTTTATGCTTCAATAAATCCGCGAGCGACAAAAATGTGCGCGACTCGTTGGCAATTTGTAACAAATTGAATTCAATTAAATAAATTAAAGTGCATTCTACATAAGCGCGACCGTTAAATGGAATCAAGCGGAAAAAAACACTGAATTAAAAATTGCTTTCGAATGTGGAGCAGGAAGATCCCTCCTCGCACGGCTTCGCTTTTCATCTGCAACTTTCCGTTAGCCAATTTACAGAGAGCCAGTGCGAAATCAAAGCGAAAGTTGAAACAAGCAAAAGTTCGCAGGGGAGGGCGGAGGAAAACTGAGGGAAAATGGGCGAGGTAACTGGGATTTTTAGATAAATAAGAGTGTGTGCAAGGTCTTGAGAACGCATTAATAAAAGCTGAGCATGTTGAAAACTTTTTGCCAGTCAATAGAAAAGTTCTCTCCGAGTTTGCTGGTTTTTTTTTCCCCCACTCATCGTATATATTTTGAGGTTTCTGGGTTACGGGGGCGTGGCTCAGCCCAACTTGACAAATGACAATTTTCACTAAATAACTGTAGGAACTCATACAACAGGAAAACGGAAACCCCTAAAAAGAACTCACCGCAAATAACAGGACACGTCAAAACAAAAGAGGGCTTGGGGAATCCTGCGGAAAACTTGTGAACGGGGCGGATACTTGATATGGCACAAGGAGACAATACATTAAAAGACTTCCTGCCTAGTTTGGCCATCAACCATTTGGGCCCAAACCACTTCAAGAATTATCTAAGCAAGCGGCGAAAGAGTTGGTTTTATGTGATCCTTGAGGAAATCAGCCACTCATAGTACTTAAGCAGCATCTTGAAATACAGGGATGGTTGGCTATGAGGGAAATCGGTTTATGGCATATAAACATTGTTTGTTATCCATTAAAGTTGATTATGCTTTGTATAACTCCTTTCTTATATTACCAAAAGTATTTTATATATTTTTTACCTTTCAAGAATATAAACTGTACCTCTGAAAATCTTTTAAATGCCGCGAAGGGAGAACAACACTGTCGAGAGTTTCCAGTGCATTTAATTGAGCAGACAAGGAGCTGAAAGTCTCGGCAAACTTTGAGGTCCAGATTGCCATCCTCCCCGCTGATCCCCTTATAAACATGTTGCCGTACCGTACTAATTGAAATGCAGCCACTTGGCTAATGTTGGTGGGCCAGGATTGGGAGGATCTGTAGGACATGGGGCTGCCAGGATGCAGTTCCAGTTCATGGGGATCCCTGGTAGAAGCCTCTGCGATGGCTACAAACTAATCAATTTAAAAAGTTTCAACCGGCAGCAAAGTTTTGCGTGCGATGAGCACTACTTGTCTGCCTTCTAGTTGGGTAAATCTCGAGTTCGCTGGTTCAACGTTTTTATGTACACGCCTAATGGGAAAACGGAAGTTGCAGAGGAAATTCGGGTTGGCGACGCAGCAAACAGCCAGGGGAAAAAATATAGTAACAGTGCTCGAACACAGCGAGCAGTTGTTCTGCATTTCCGTTTCCGCTGTTTTGCCCTTTCCACTCTCCCCCTCTTTGCTATCCCTTCATTTCAGGACCTAAACACAGAAATAAACTCGGATGGAAGCCCCCATAACGCAGACCACTTCCTACGGAATTTTCTTGAATTTATTTAACAAGTTATGGAATTGATTTACTACAAAAACGAATTTGATTTACCATTCTATAAATATTTTTATTGAGGAAAAAAATGGCCTGAACTTTATCACTTTATTGGGCATTTATTGGTATCGTTATTTGACCAGTTAAACTTACTTTTAATATTTTAGGCTGTAAAAAAAGTATACATTATAAGTTTAAAATCCATTCTTCCGGTGTAGCCCTCTAGAAGTGCATTGGCATTGTCCTTGTTTATGATAAATCCGTGTCCATGTAACAGGACACTCGAGTGGGGAGGACAATGTCTGCAAATATTCGCAAAGGACGCTGGACGAAGGACGGGCCGCATCGCTAAATAGATAAATTGAAAAAGTTGCGCGTTTCAAATGCTTTTTGCAAAAGCAATTAGTTTGACGCTTCGGGCCGAGAGATCTGCTCCACTCCACGGAGCATCGTATTGCAATTAGCGCAACTAGAGAGCAGAGGAAAAACAATACGAGCGCCAAATGGCCGGCAAACCAGGCGAAAGCCATGGCCAAAACGGGACAAAACCAAAACCAAATCCAGACCAACCAACCAGTTAACTGAAAACGCTGAATTATGAGCCATGACCGCGGGAGAGCGTGTGTCCCGTTCCCGCTGTGCCTTTTGGCCACATTTGGGTGGCACCTCCCCGATCCCAAATCCAATTCCAACGCCAATCCCAGAGCCACTGCACCCACTCTGCGTCAGAGCTCCGTTAGCCAGATCGATTTGGCAGCTCCCTTGGGCGGACGAAAACGTATTATACCAAAATCAATCGGGCCAAATTTCGAAAAATAAAATAAGCATTTGTCGGAAACGTGAAAGTGTTTTGGTACTACTTTATACCCTAAAATATAAAGAAATATTTAAAGAGATTGGTATATTTATTAATCTATTTATAATTCATTAACTAAATTTTATATTTTTAACTAAAATACTGTCTTTTTATGATAACTTTTAACAGGCCAATAATCTTTTAACCGCAAGTATAATAACAATTTTTCTTACTTCGTGCATTTGAGGGCTTCATTATCACTTTTTATTTCTATATTTTAATTACAGTTTGCCAAATTAATGGTAATTTATTGAAGCCATTTTATATTTATTGGCTTCATATTAAGTATGCAAATCAATTTTGGCTTTCTGCGGGAAAATATGTTGCAGCGCTCAATAAACAGAATTTAAGCAGAAAATTAAAACATTACGTTAATTAAATTTCCAAATCTAGCCTAATCCGGACTGAATATTCAGTCCTGGCAATTGATTGACCTTGACCTGTGCTACTACAGGGTATGTAGGCCCAAATGGTCGCAGCTGTGGTCGTGATAAAGAATTCCACGAAAATCGGAGCGATTTTCCATGGGCCAAAGGCAACAGCGAAAGCAAAGATAGTCCATTGATGGCCTCTAATTGAAGTTCGTTCGAATGTGTGGGTGGGCGGAAGTGGGTGGTTGGGTGGTTATGGCTGAATTGGCTTGGCTGTTCGTGTGGGACATTGAATTAATTACATTTACACGGCCCTCGCCAGTTTCTCTCTCTCTATTTTCCTGTCTGCCAGGCTGATGTTTTGAGTGTTAATTAAAAATTGCATGTTAAATAGGCGCTGACATTTGCGGGTTTCATTGGGTGAACAGCCATCGGTTTGGGCCAACTGGATGCCGAATTCCCAATCCTTAAATCTTGTCTCATCACCTGGGGTTATGTATTGCACGTCGTTTGCGTATTGGGCTAATTTATCAACAACGTTTTTTGAGAGGTTGAATAAGCCAACAGACTAAATAATTCTACTTGATTTTCATGGTAAAAACAATGTTTTTGCTAATCTTTCTACATTAATCTTTAGCTTGGCATATCGAATGTGACCCCAAGTTGCTTCTTTAGCCCCTAATGAAGCCACTTACTTTGCTCGCCCCTTTTGGCTGCCTTTAATTACCCTAAAGTACTTCAGCCAAAGGGTAACTAATATCTTTGGCCGGCTTAAACTTTGTGGGGAAAACTCGAAAAACACGAGAAAGTATCTTCAAGCAGGAAGATTAGCTCTTTGTAAGCAAGTGCAGGCAGTTTTTCAATATAAGCAAACTATTCGCCCTGTGGTCAAGTAAGATTCTGCTCATTTATTTACGAGATAAACTTTTGATTTGTTGTACCAGCTGGAGGGGAATGGCTGGAGTGGATGGGTGGGCAAGTGGTTAGGAGCCGGCCAAGCTGAAAACATTTTATTACCCAAATACTATTCGGTGAGCGGCCAAACTCCATCCCAGACGAAGGCACCTCCCACTGAAGTCTAATAAAATAAATTTAATATGCGATTCTTGCCCTCGGCTTTGGGGTAATTCTCGCTTATTATAACCCCCTTAAAGCCCCCACCACGACGACGGCCCACGACCCCGAAGACCCACTTCCTCCACACGAAAACTGTAACGCTCCAGTTAACAAACTTATGGCATAATGAAAAACTTTTTAAATAAATTCTCGCGAGGATTTTTATGGCCAGTTTGTAATAAATAAAAATTCGCCAACAAAACGCGCTGGCAACCAAAAAATGTAAATTAAGTTTTTTGCGGTCGGGCTGTGGATTCCTTTGACCGACTGCTGGAATTCATCAAATGAAACAAATTAAATAATCCAATTATCGACTGTCATAAAGCCGAAGCAATCAAAACAGAAATGAAATGAGAAATCCAAAGGCTATATGGCTGCAATACTGGTCGCTAACTTTATGGGGGCACTGTTTATGGAACTACAACTCGAACAAAGGTTATCAGAGTGTTTTCCTTATCAACGAAAGCGAAATCTGTCGATTGGAAGGGGGCGGAAAAACAAATATGCAATCTTCAGCCTCGGAGTTTATCGTTGGGATTTATACTTTGCACTGGCAAACGAGGAGCACCAACGGGCCAGAGATAACACCTTTATCAGAGGAATTAGCAGACAGTAGCCATGTGAAGAGCAGGGTGTGGATGGGAAGGTGTCTTCTGGAATACAATTAATTTGCAATAACAAACATATGGGCGGGCCAACACCCACCCACTTCACACTCATGACGAACTTGGAAGTTGGCAAACGACGTGACTTTGAAGACCAGATAGCGGTTGAGCGGCCAGGCACACGCGATCTACAGGTGAAACTCTAAAAATAGCACCAGCACAGTTCTCATTCATGATTAAGTAATATATTTAAACAAAGATCGTTTCATTATATATCTCACATGCATGGATAAAATAACACCTTTATAACATTTTGTGCTTTATTGAGAATCCACTTCACACTTATGGCGCTACAAAAAACTGTTTCAACATTCAAGCTAATCGTTATCATGTAATATTGTCACCGGAATTGCCGACATATAAATGCCCTAAGTTTTTGTTTTAAACTTAACGTTGTATATACACGCATGGTTCATGTTTAATCGTTCGAGGATCGCTTTATATGATATATATATTTACAGGCCAGTACTCTTGTTCACGCCCAGGATATACTTGTTGTAGCCCTGGTTAAGCTGCTCCAGCAAGATGAAGGTCAATACGGTGTGGGGACCCAGGCGGCAGTAGTAGGGAGTGAATCCCTTCCACAGAGCGAAGATTCCCTCCTGGCGGGCCACTCTCAGCAGAACGTCGGCGGTGCCGCTGTACTCTGGCTTGCCGTTGACCGTCTTCATGTTCTGGATACGGGTCTTGGCGATGTCCAGCGGCATGGATGTGATGGTGGTCAGCAGACCGCTCAACATGCTGGCGCAGAAGTGCAGCTTGATGCCCTCCTGCATTTTGAGGGGTCCGTCGCGGAAATAGGTCTTGAACTGGGAGTAACTGGCCAGCTGGGTCATGTTCACGACCATGGCGCGACCCACGGTGGGCAGACTACCTCTCCAGAGAGCTGTGATGCCCTCCTCCTTGGTGATCCTAGCCAGGGCATTGGCCACATTCGTGTAGTTTCTCCTCTCGGCAACCGGCAACCTGCCATCGGAGGTCATGCGCACCAGAGCCACCTCTGCGGGGGTACCGATGAAGGCACCGCAGGCTCCGGCGATGGTTCCCATGGCCATGCTGTCTATGATGCCGGGATTCCTCTGGAATCGCTCCAGGAATTGATCATTCAAGTAAGTGTACATCCCCAATCTTCCAGTTGTGTAGGTGGCCTGCCTCAGCAGAGCAGCTCCAATGCCCTGGTACAGTGCCAATGGACCTTCCTTGCCAACTATGGTCTGGATGCAGTGGAAGGAGCTGCGGTACTCCTTCTTGCCACTTCCAGCTCCAGAGATTTGCATGCGGGTCTTGACCTGGAGATTACAGATTGCACGGCATCAGTAAGAGGTTGGTTTTGGAGTTTTATTAAAGTAATATCTTACCAGGTCCAGAGGCTGTACCACCATGGTGGCTCCCATTCCCGAGAGACCGCCGAACAGAAACTTGATGGCATTGGACGCGGCTGCCTTCTTAGGCGCTTCCTGAACAGTAGCACTCATTTTCACTGGAAATCGATTACACAACACTTGGGTAAATGCTCGCGATTTGCAATTTCCAGTTTTGAATGCCCGGAAAAGTCGATTGGCCGCTGCGAGGGAATGTGGAAAATGCCGAGGGAAGTGGAATAGCACCTCTCTACGCCGATGGCACAATTAATAATGAATATTTTCAGCCGCACGCACTTGCTGAACAGCTGATATCGCGTTTGTTTGTGTGTGGGTTGTATTTCCTAGATTTATTTTTGCACCGCGAATGTTGTTCAATGTCAAATGCGTTGCTTTCTTTTTCCCGGTTTTATTTTTATTTTCGGCGCTAATGGCAAGTGGCACGTGCTGCTTGGCTGCTATTTGTTGCGTTGCCGCGGAATGTTTGGCCCCGATTTCCTTATTTATTTGTTTTTTCAGCCTGCAACTAAGAAACCCAATGCAACCAGCAACAAACAGCACAGAAATACATCTGCTGACGAGAGAAACCTTGTTGTTGTTGCTGGGCCACAGCTGATGACGTGTGCGCGAGAGCGAGAGAGGGCGGCGGCGCGAGAGAGCTGAGAGCTCTACCTATCCCACTTCCACTCACAGCACCCTCTGTGAGAAACAGCAAACAGTGCTGGTAAACGCCAAACAGCTGAGCGCCTTGACCGGACTTTCAAATATGAGAGCGCACATTCCAATTAGCATTTGAGACTAAAGTAGCTTTGTTTTTCTTTTTTTTGTTTACACAATTGATTCGCTCACAAGTCGAATTCGCCAGATTATTTTCACAGAGTAACACCTTGGAGTACATATGTTTTTTTTTTATCTCGATTGCTGCCTTTATTTGGAATCTGCTTATCGACGCACGGCGCAAAAATGTTTGCCGCGCTTTTATCGTAATTGCGCTAATTAGAACCACAATTGGCCCAATTCGATTCTGATTCGCTTAAACAGACCCTGCTAATGGAACTACAGTAGACATTGACTATGTGAATGAAGCTAATAGAGATAGTTGGTTTTAAAAAAGGTAATAAAAATGTGTATATGTCTATTGTATTACTTTTTCAATATTATGATAGATATTTAGATATAACTATTAATCTAGCATTCACTGATAGCTGTAAGTACTGTCTTGAATTTGGTGATGTAAAGATAATATAGTTGTTTTCAGTTGTATTTTTAGCTCTTCCGTGTTTATTAGTAAGGTAAATATTTAGATTTCGATACAAATATAAAGCCACAAGCTCAAATATTTTGGCTTTCTCCAAGCTGAACAACCTCCAGAAGGCCGTGGCACCTCCAAAGACCACACGGATCAGTAGGTACCGTGAATTATAACGAAAATGACAGATAATGACGATGTAGCTTGTCGCACAACATGTTATCATTAAATCGCACTCGTATCTCGGGACGGCATTCAGTCAGTCGACCGGGATTGGGAATGGGATTGGGATTCATCCATCCAAGCGCATTACGTGCATTCGTTCCGCCGTCACCCACTGCTCCTCCTCCCCCTGCTCACCCCAAAACGACCTTGGTCCCCACCTACGACCCCCACCTCATTCAATCAGAGGCGACTCAACAGATTGCCTGTCGTTTGCCTGCCATTGGAGCTGAAGCAATTCCAATTCAATTTTAGCTGCGATGACGAAGCCGGCGACAACGCTTGCTCCAACAGGGATTTTCGCATCTTTTTTTTGTTAAAAAAATGTACGAAATGGGGGCGGTTGGAGTTGGGCGTGGTGCCAGGCCAAGCACATTGTAAGCAATCAGCAGAGGAAGTGGGGCCAAAGCGAAATCTCCAGCTGTCAACCGGTGCTGTGGATAAAAACTACCTCCCATACAGGACACTTTTCCGAGTCCTGCTCTCACTTCCACTTCCACACATTATAAATACCATTCAGGACCGGAACGGACGACCCCCAGCCACGGTTAATATGGCTCCTACTATGGCTCCGACTCTTGAACAAACATGTTGAACAAATCCTACAATTGCGATCAACGTAATATCACTTTCATCCTAAAACTCTCAATAAAATAATATTTTTTTCTTTTTTATATTTGACTTATATTTTTGAAATACAATCATTATTTTAATACTATATGCAATTTTTAATAATAGTAACTTTAGTGCTATTACTTTGACCTCTACTGTTTAAGCAAGCAACCGGTGTGAAGGACATCGTAAGTGAAATTGAACGCTTGGACTTACGGAAGAAAAAACAGGCGTCGAGGCATACAACCTACTAACTTGGGATATGATTATCCAAACACGGAAAGAATATAGTCGATGCCTTAAACACTAAAAAAAAGAAGGGAATATTTTTCAAATACTCATTTATTGGTTATTAATATTAAGAAATTAAAAAAGGATGTTCCATTTAAGCTCTCGCCAGAAACTGAAATGAGAGAAGATATCTATAAATAAATTATGTTAAACGGTTCTTTCAATAAATTCTGATACAGCTTGTTATTTGTACTTTAATCCTGTTAAATTTAATTAGCATTAAGGATACAAAAAAGGCCAAAGCAGCCCTTGAAATCGTTGAAAGTTCCTCCATCAAGTAAAAAGGGAATGGAACCCTTTGAGATCCCACTTATCAGCTGCACTTTCGAAGCATCTTCGAATTGCTCGCCCCAACGAGTGCATTCAATCTGATGGTTGGCCAGGTGCCGAGAATGAGGATGTGGATATGGGATATGGGATATGGGATATGGATGTTAATGCTAATGGGGAGGAGGGTACGAAGGTGGATGGGTTTGTCGACTCAAGACCCGACCGGTTTCCATCGCTCATGTGAGGCTGCCTCCTGGCCAATCAATAAAATTTCACGGCGCAGTAATCAAAGCATGTGACATTAGCGTAAAGTTGAATGGGTCCATGGCCCCGGGATCTGGTTAGGCTTTTGTGTGTGGAAGGCTGACATGATAGGGTCGCTCGATATACAAACTCAGCTCCTGCCCCTTAAATATATTCCCTTGCAGAATCAACAGTTTGTCGCCTGCTAATTTTAAACCAGGGAAAACCAGGAGAAGGAGGAGAGCAGAGAAAGAGGAAAGCCAGCGAAGTTCACCTGCAAGTTTGTGAACATTTATTTTTGTGCAGCGCGCTTAGTGATGCGTTAGGGTAAACAGCTTACGCGGGGACGGGGCTTGCCACCAGTTTCAGTTTTCAGTTAACCGGGCCCGGTTTTTGGTTTGGCAACGACCAACTTGGGCTGCAAATCGAGTGGAAGACTTCAGTGCGTTGGCAAACGAAAATAAGTTGCCGCTCTCCTTCCTGTCTGCCAACATTTATTCTTGGCTCCGGCTCGAATAAATAGGCATCCTTGAAGTTCAGACAAAGGTCGCACTCCTTAGAAGGTATCTAGCGATTTGTGTCACTGCCAACTGGCGGCGGAATGGCCAAAATGGCTGAAATGGCCAAAAGGAAACGCCCCGGCGTGTGCTGGAAAGCCAAAAGACGACTTCGAGGAAGTCGAACAATTGAAAACCGGCTTGAAATGCCGCATGACTCAGCCGGCAGCCTGCACTGCCTTTGGCCCAGAAGTGCAGGCCAAATTAAATGGAAACGCAAATGGAAGCAGCTGAAGTGAGGAATTGTTTTGGCAAACTCAATTTCAGACGACTTTCCGACAGAGTCCACTTAAATAAACATTTTCGAAATAGAACGGATTGAAAAAAGGCATCTTGTTTAATTTAAGTTCCTAGGAAATCGAATTAATAAGCTGAGCTAGAAGAATAATTTGAATAAAGAGAGGATTTATATTGGAAACAATTAATCAGCTGCCAAATTCAAAACAGAGCTTCTTTAGCAACTAGTTTAAACAAAAAGTACTTGTTCTGACAAATTCTTTTAAATAAATTAGAAATATTTAAATAAAAACAAAAGTTAATGTAAGACTGTGAAAGCATCTTCCTAGAAATCTTAATTTAAGTACAAGAAAAATGCATTGCAGCGTTTTTCTTCAGAATAGCATAATAGGATGAAAGGAGTCACAGCTTAAAAGAAAAACGATGTTGACGGTGGAGCTCGTTATGAGATGTGACATACATCTAATACAAAATTCAGCAAAAGTTCTTTAAATTTACAGCGTGCATGACACATGAGCCATATATTCGAGGGAATCCTCCACTTATCCTGAACCCCCCATCCTGCAGCGATTTTCTGCTGACTGTCGCTTGAATTAGAACAGCATTCAGAGATCCTGCGTTCAGTAATGAAATCCGCTTTAGGAATTCATGTGGGGATAAAGCCGGAAAAAGAAACGCTTGCCCCCCGAATGGAAAGTTGAAATTGCTTTGCCCAAAAGGACAGTGGAACGAACGGAGGGTGTCCTTTGGCTATTTGCAATATGCAAAATGCGACAAAATAGTTTAGGGGGCGGCCACGGCCACGCCCAGCCACTCGGCTGCCTTGGCTGCGTAAATAAACATTTAACTTTCTATTAGGATTTGCATGAAAAGCGAAGGGAAGTTTGGGGAGAAAGACGAGGATGAGAGCTCGACAGGATTACCGCGGCCGCAGCCAATTTAAGCGGACTCCTGAGGGGCAAAACCCCGGCTAAATCTGATTGTGCACTAAACATGCTAATGGCATTATAATTATCCCTGGGGAAGGCGCAGCCACCTGCCCCAGCGATTTGCGAATTGCCAACTTTTTGCCACTTAAAGCAGCTAAATTGCATTGTGGTTGCATCTAGTCCTCTTCCTCCATGAACTACTGTTCCGTATCCAAGTCCAAGCCCTCTGACATTAGCGTATAATCAGCATTAATGGCCAAGATACGGACGCATCATCCGCCGGATGCCAGCGGATTCCAAGGGCCATTGTGCTGGAGCTTCTGTTTTCCATTTGCTCCCAGCCCGGGGATTATATCCGCATCAGCTCAATGAAAAATTATATGTACAATGTACATTGTCCGGGGCTGGGAGCGGGTTGCCTGCCATGTGGATAACGCCCTTTTGTCCGCTCCTTGGGCGACATTGAAATTAGTTTGCATTATTGGGAACGAGCGCTGACAGTTAATTGTTCTCCAGTTGCCCTTGCTGTCGCGTTCTTCATCTCTCTTTACAGAGCGAAAATAAAATCGCTAAAGTTAAGTACTTAAATAAATATTACTCGACTTAAAGCTCAAGATAATATTTTAAGCTTTTTAAGACGGACCAATATAAAAATCTAATAACATTTCGTGGCCATTAAGTAAGTCTTAAAACTGACATGAAAAAACTGTTGTAAAATATAATGGTTTAAGTTCTGCATTAAGTAATTTATGACATCCACAAAAATGAATTATTGATTGTCAAAGCTTAAAACTGTAAAATAATATTCCACGTTCTTTTTTTTGCTATATAAATTCGGGAAATGTAAAAGTTTATCTTGACTAATCAAGTTTATCAAAATTCTTAATTTTGCCCCACTAATTTCTCGCTGTGCACTCCATTTGTTGTCCATTGACCATTGTCAGCCACCTCGTGATTACCTTTAGGTTCTGGGCAAA